CCGCTCCAGCACCTCGATGTCCTTCTTGTAGCGAGGGGCCCAAAACTGAACACAGTACTCAAGGTGTGGCCTCACCAGAGCCGAGTACAGGGGGACGATCACCTCCCTAGCCCTGCTGGCCACACTGTTTCTTATGCAAGCCAGGATGCCGTTGGCCTTCTTGGCCACCTGAGCACACTGCTGGCTCATATTCAGCCGACTGTCCACCATCACTTCCAGGTCCTTCTCTGCCTGGCAGCTCTCCAACCACTCATCTCCCAGCCTGTAGCTCTGCTTGGGGTTGTTGCGCCCCAGGTGCAGGACCCAGCACTTGGCCTTGTTAAACTTCATACAGTTGAAAGATTATATTGTTGGAGCAGAAGGAAAATACAAACCAGTAAATTGTATATGCTGCTTAGATATTGAATTGCTTTCTTCAATGTTAAATAAATTTTACATGTTTGGAAGAGCTATAATGCAAAGGCTAGAGGTGTCAGCAGGATGCAATTAAGTTGTGATTGTCAAGCAGAGATGTAGTATGGAAAGCCGTATCTGTTGTGAGCAATTCTATTTGGATTACTCTTGAACAAAACATTTCAGTCAGATTTCTCACAAATACCATTGAGAGAACTTCATTAGCACTCCTGTAGCTATCTGAGCTTGTTTCCCTGAAATAATATCACATTTGTAAATGTATCCAGCTCTGTATACGTTCTCTTTTCCCTTTGTTTGCTTTCACTTGTGAAAATCATGTTAGTGGCTTTTATCTTGTCTTTAATGAGCTGTAGTTTGTTGTTGTTTATTATGAATTATATTTACAGTACTAATACATACATGCCACACTCTAAAAATGAAAGAACATCTCTCATACGGAGAAATTACTTATTTCCAGGGAAAGACGTTATTGTTCAATTAAGGCAACTCTGCTCTGTGTTTCCAAATAGGAAGTGCACTACCTCAAGGACATCTGAAAGTCATTTATGATTATGAAGTTGTCATTCCTTTATACAGTTAATATAATTAAGTAATGCTAAGCTGTTAACAGGAAAAAATAAATAAATAAATAATATAAATAATATATTAAATTGTAATGCAATGTTTTACTGGCTATTTTCACTAGACTGTTGTGTGTAGGCTAAACTACAAAGGCTTGCAATAGGTAGGTACGTTCACAATTGTCAAGCTGTTATTCAGATTTTTTCAAGTGTACATTTTAGAAACAAAGAAAAACACCACTTGCCTCATGTAGTATTTGAAGTAATCTTTTTCCTGTTCAAAGACAGTTTCCTCTTCAGGGCAGAACTAAAGAGTTCCCACATCCTGTGGAAACAAATTAAAGGTTCTTCAGAAAGGAAGAAACAGGATCGTATGTTCATGTTTCGCAAGGGCAGTTTAGGAATTTGTGCTTTCCTGGACTTTTAATAGTCTGTAATGGTTGAGCATATACTTTTTGAGTATATATTCACTTAGAATGGCTAGTTAATCTTGATTTCCAAGATCAAGACCCTTAATACAAGACTGAAATATGAGACTGTGAAATACACCAGAAAGCTGTGCTGGTGCCTGAAGAGTCAGTGCTGAGCCTGAAAGGAAAACCCATGCTTGTTCTTTATGAGCTTAGACTCCACAAAGCTGGCTCCAGTCATCTTCTCATTTCTGAATGGCAACTAAGCCTTCCCAACTGTTGAAGTTAAACCACCTTCTTTGTCACAAATTATTTGTCTTCCCTTCTGACTATTGAAAATCCTGTCCTTTTTTCCCTGATGCCATTTTAGTGCCTTTAAACTTTTGTTTTAATAGTAATTATTTTGAAATATGGACAGGGAGATTTCTATGAGCACATGCTCAAAAAAAAAAAAAAGCATTTGTAGGTTCTAAATCATTAATTATCCATTCAGTTCCACAATAATTCAGTTTTGCTAACCATTCCCAGTGAATTGTTTATATTATGAAACTTCTTTAATAGCAAACTGCCATTTACCTCATTTTTAAATTATTGTTCCTATTACTAATATTATTAAAAATATATATATTATTTAGTACTTGGTCTCATCAATAAAGAAAAATGGATGGTGCCCATGAAGCATTTAGTCTTATCTTAACTCTATATCTCTAACACCATTAACACAATAGTGCAAGAGTAGATACATAATACTTTGAGCTGTGTTTCTTTAATTTTGTGCATTACTCTTGTCACCATTTCCCTCTTGTATTATGTCAGTATCCCTGAGTTTGTTCTGTAAAAGCCAAGGATGTTTCCCTATTAATGACTATTTAAATAACTGACTTACCTTGCTATTGTACTTGCTTCTTTCTGTCACAGAAAATGACTGTGAATTAATTAGCATTAGAACATTGGAAATTCCTATGAATTTTAACATTTTATCTGGAACATTCTGTGCGCATTAATGAATGATTTTACACCTCCTAATGCAAAACTGATGATATCTGTAGAAACCTCTGGGGGAGCATGTGAGGTCATTACTGTTAGATTTGCAAAGAAAATGTATGGATTTCTCTCTCACATTATTATTTTCTGTGCTGATAATGCTATTTTTGAGCTCTTGCTCAGACTGGTTCAATTGTATTGAAAGATTCTCTTATCCTTTATCCTATTTATCTACTTTTCCAAACTTTTCATTTCATAAGGGAAATTAATTGTGGTTTTTTTTCAGAAATACTTAAAGCATTCCTACAGGAACACAAGAATCTACATTTTCAGGTGTTAATGTTGCCTCCAGAGATAATGGTCACTGAAAGGCAGCCCAGCATGAAAAGCAAATGTACACATCAGAAATGAAAATACAATTTATACTATGTCTCCTTCCTGTCTTGCTTGTTGATTGCTTATTCTTGGTGTGAAGGAGAATTCCAGAAGTAATGTTAGTGTTTTGACATATAGACATCTATGTAGGAAGACGAATGATGATGTTTTATGGAATCCTAAGCATGTTTTGTAGTACTGCTTACTTTTTTTTTTAATCTTATTTTTTTAAAAAGGCTTTATAAATTCATGGATTCATAGGAGCTCACAACATAATTAGCGCCCTGCCAGTGACTGAGGGAGAAACCCTGGCAAAAACAATCCCTCCTGAAAGCAATGAACCCCTGTGTACTACTCACTGAGCAAAATCTTACTAGGTTAAGCCAGGTGGATTGCTTAAATAAATAAACTTCTTTTTTTTTTTTTTTCCTTCAGAATTTTTCCATCATTTCCATAAACTATATTTTTCTGGTTTATTTTTATTTTTTTTTCAGAAGGGTAATATTTATTTAGGTTTAGATTTGCTGTTTATTTATAAAATATGCATAAAATTTATAATATTTAAGTAATTTATTCTTGATAGTTAGTAACTAAAGAAAGCTATTGGAGAGGGAAGACAACTGCTATGCATCCACATCCAAAGGTTATTGAAATGATTAAATAGCTTTTAACAGCAGACAAAAGAAATCTTTTCTTCATTTCAGTTCTATTTACTTCACTAATTAGCTTGAAGTTAAGGAACTACTTAGAAATCAAGTAAACTGAAATATCATTATCTTTTATGGACTATGAATTCATTTATTAACTGTTTATAAAATTTGCTCTGTTAAAAAAAACAGTTTTAAGTATAAAATAAGCTTGATACATTTTTTCTCCATATAAAGCATGTTCATCGAAATTTTATTTGAATAATAAATACATTTCAAAGGCTGAGTTTCTGCATTTTGATTGAATTTTCCTTTCCATCCAAAGCATTCATACAGGTCCTAAGTAAATAAAAATTAATAATCTAGTAAAGAAGAATTATTCCTTTCAATAGAATGCTATATGTGCTAAGCATTTGAATAATTTTTCAGAATTATATCACCACTTAAATGGGAATGTAAGGTGTATTTTTGGTTTTGGAACTGTCACTTCTGAATGTAAGTAACAGATTAGTTTAAAAATTAGATTCAATTGCAAACCAACCTTTTATTATTATTATTATTATTTTTTACTTACCAACAGCAGTCAAACTCACATTAGGAAGAATGAAAAATACACACCCAACATAAGTACAGAGAGGTTTTAGTAAAAATAATTTTTTCACAATTTTTGTATTTTCAAGTGAATAGGAGTTACTAAGAAAAAAAAGATTGAAAATCTCATGAGGAATATTTTTGTATTGGATACTTTTTATAAAAAATATTTGATAGGCATTTCAGAAACATTATAATCCAGGGCCTTATAAATAGGTAATTCTGTGATGTATGGAATATACCAGGGCTATATGAACATTAATTCATAACTCTTTACTAATTAAATCTGTACTCAGAATTTTAATTCAGTAGAAAATTCCAATGTTTCTAAAATTAATTTAACCTCTAATTGTATGAACATGAAATGTTGACGTTTTCTACTTACTAAAATTTTGTTAAAATGTGGTGAAAATATCAAAATAGGCATAATTTTTTTTTCTCTTAACAAAAGTAAGGTAATTAAACTTTGATATAACAGGAGTTACATTAATTTAATTCAAAGATGTAGATATGTGCTTACATTTTTATTGATTTAGTATACTGCATACAGGATTGTAATTAAAAAGTAATTAATGATTAATAGTTAGTTAGAAAGTCTTGGTTGCTTTATATGGTACTTCTTTAATGACTTACCAAAATCAGGAAAATCATACCCTTTAATAGAATAACAATAGCATATTCTGTTAAATTGCACAGTTGACAGTTACCCATTTCTGACTTGCTCAAAATTGTGAATTAATGAATTTGTTTCAAACATAAAATTGCCAAAGAAGCATTTCAGAGTATAGTTTGCTAGCCACTCATGTTTGTGTGTATCTAACATGCCAGTATTCTTGTAAGGGCAATGAAACCTCAGTAATAGAGGTCAACTTCTCATTCCTGGCTGAGTTAAAGGAGAAGGAAGAGATTTTACAACCTGAGTAGCAAAGAGTGCATTTAAACCCACAAGGATGTCACTGGTTTCAACCAAGTGCTGACATACTCATTATGCCTTAACTGCATCTCCTGTTTCCTCCTAGGTCTTACTGCTGCAGCATCTCTTGTATCCCTGGCTTGGGCTTTGGCTTCGTACCAAAAGGCTCTCCGTGACTCCCGTGATGACAAGAAACCCATCAGTTATATGGCTGTTATAATCCAGTTTTGCTGGCATTTCTTCACCATTGCAGCAAGGGTCATTACTTTTGCTCTGTTTGCCTCGGTTTTCCAGCTGTACTTTGGGATCTTCATCGTGCTCCACTGGTGCATCATGACCTTCTGGATTGTCCACTGCGAGACAGAGTTTTGCATCACCAAATGGGAGGAGATAGTTTTTGACATGGTTGTTGGGATAATCTATATCTTCAGCTGGTTCAATGTCAAGGAAGGAAGGACACGCTGTAGGCTTTTCATTTACTATTTTGTGATCCTTTTGGAAAACACCGCCTTGAGTGCTCTCTGGTATCTGTACAAGGCTCCACCAATCTCTGATGCATTTGCCATACCAGCACTGTGCGTAGTGTTCAGCAGCTTTTTAACAGGCATTGTTTTTATGCTAATGTACTATGCCTTCTTTCATCCCAACGGACCAAGGTTTGGGCAGTCGCCAAGCTGTGCTTGTGAGGACCCTGCAGCTGCCTTCACCCTACCCACAGAAGTGGCAACAAACACTCTCCGGTCCATCTCCAACAACCGGAGTGTCACAAGCGAGCGGGATCAAAAATTTGCGGAGCGGGATGGGTGTGTGCCTGTGTTTCAGGTGAGACCTACTGCACCATCCACACCTTCATCCCGGCCACCAAGGATTGAGGAGTCAGTCATTAAAATCGACCTGTTCAGGAACAGGTACCCAGCCTGGGAGAGACACGTGTTGGACAGAAGCCTGAGGAAGGCAATCTTAGCATTTGAATGTTCCCCTGCTCCTCCACGGCTACAGTATAAAGATGATGCCCTCATCCAGGAGCGCTTGGAATATGAAACCACATTATAAACGAAACAAACACACAGCTTGAAGAAGCTCCGGTGTTACAGTCCCAGTTAAGGGTTGACGGTAGGACTGTAGGATTACCTAAACCACATACAAGTAGAGCAGCAAGCTGTAGTGTTCTTAGTCTGGCTACCATCATGATTATCATTTGATCCACTGTGTGCAGTCTGTCTGCAGGACACTGGTACAGCAGCATCACCTGAAAGCCTCAAAAAACAAACAAACAAAAAAAAAACCACTCACCCACACATAGAGATCGGTTACTCCATCTGGGAAAACTCACCCATGAGTCATTGCTGCTATGAAACTCTGACTGCACAGTACTTACAGGCAAACCAATAGGGAGGCTCAGACCAGAGCTTTCAACTTTAGCCAGTAGTGCATTTTACTTTAGAAATGAATGATTGATATTTGCATAATCAATGGCAAAAACAAACAAACAAACAAAAACTTTTCAAAAATAACAAAACTGTAGCACGCAATGTTGCTGTTATTAAAACTGTTTTCTGGGGAAAAAAAATAGGAGCATAATAGTCTTCAACATCCCATAAATAGACCATTCAGGTTAGAATAGGTTTGCAAAATAGTTATTAATTAAAAAGATACATCATCATCTTTGTAAGGTTATAAATGGAAAATAAACTAAATTCTGATCAATTAGCTCATAAACATTGACACCACCAGAACTTTTTGTTTTCTGTGGAATTTCAAAGTCTTTTTAACTGCAATTTAAGTTCTTTATGTTGATTTCAACAGAAATCCTATGCAGCTCACTTATGGTTTTCAGGAGAAATAAGGAGCTCTAGCACGTAGTGATGTAAATTAAATGATAATCATGATTCAGTGTTCAATCTGCAAAAAAAAATATATATATGTAAAAGAACAGGGAAGTATAGTTTTCATATTCTAAACTTTTTGGAGGACCCCATTCAGATATTTCAGAAGAAACTACAAGGAGATGAACACACTGAAACTTCTTTCTGTTTCGAGACTGTGAATGCATGATTCAGTGTGTGAATGTATGCAGGGGTGACAAAAGACTGTGACATGCCATACCCTTCTAGTGCCAAACATTGTATAACTGCAAGACTGATATTGCCTGAGGGACAGATAACAAGTGGCACGAGCCCTACGAGACCAAGAAGCAGGAAAGAGAGATCCAGTTCTCAACGTGTAGAGACAGCTCTGTTTATTCCCATCCAAGGTGAAAGTGATGTCTTTTAAAGGCTTTCAGCCACCTCTTAGTAAGTATATTCAGTGAAGTATAATATAACCAAGCTATGTGGAAGACCCTCTTCTGCCTGTTCAAGACTTGTTTCCAGATATGTCTAAAAATTACATTGAATCTCTTGTAATAGAGTGCTTTTGCTGCAAGCTTTTGGGTTTTAAATACCTCCCTAAATCTAGTCAATGGTATCCTTCTTTATGTTAAAAGTATCCCCTGATGGTGCTTTCAGATGCATTAAAGGTGCAAGTCAAAATTTGATAGTATTTTTTTTAAAGCTGGTGCAGAGTGAAAAACTCATGAATTATTTCAATATTTTTGTAAAGTAAAAATATGATATAAAAAGGTTACTTTTTATAAACCTCAAATCTTTTAATACATTTCATTCTCTTTATAGCTTAGATTTTAAGAATTGGTCCATGAATTTTATCAACTAGCTTCTGCAGGTTGATACAAACCTGGTTTTCACATTATGGATTTGTTTTGCAGTGTAATGCCATATGAAAGCCTACATGGGTACTTTTAGAAAACTCCATAAACCGTGGATCCTGCTTCTAATGAAAGTGGCTTGTAAAGACACCAAGCAATTCCATAAGAAACAATTTGCTATAACTATTTCCATCCGTTTTAGGAAAGCGAAGCAGAACTGAAGAGTTACTGTTTTAAATGGCATTGTCAGGATGGAGAAGACCTGATGATTGGTGTTTTAATCTTCACTGTCAGGTATATTCAGTGTAGTCACTGCTGTATATGCTGCTGGGTAAATTTCAGTCTTTCCTGTTATTAATATTTGTACTATGAAAGAGCAGAGGTTACACACCTTTGTTTATTTGTATGCGTTCAATTAGCCATTTTTAATGTTGACTTTTTTTATTAGTGAAATGTTCAATATCTGTTGATCTTTGCTGGGGCGAGTTCCTCAAAACAAAACATCTGTAGAAGTGCAGGAACCTGCAAGCCTGAAGGAACTTTGTGCAGATCAGAAAACACCCATCTTTGAAGGGTTTCTTAGGTATTTTCAAATTAAGCAGTGGCCAGCTGCCTCTATAATCATTTTTAAATAAAATAATTCTTTGATAGTTCAAACCCAAAGTTTTGTACAAAGTGATTGCCCTTCTCACCATGCAGATATGTTTGATTGTACAGAGAAAAGCTCTCATGTTTTGTCAAAATATATATATATACCACTGCAAGGATTGCTAAAAAACAATATGGGGAGCAAACCCTTTGTCCAGACAAATTCAGTAGAACTTTCACTCCAGAATCCAATGCTGGGTCGCACAAAGAAAATGCCATTTTCCTTTGCAAACAAGGCAAATTGTAGGCTTTGTAACCCAAGACGTGAAGGTTTCTTTTGGAAACCATTCTATATGTTTGCTACTTCTTTAGTAATTAGAAATGCTAGCATGAGTGAGGCACCATGGGCAGTGCTCTCACTCCACATGGGCTCTTGTGTCCCTCTGGCACCTCCTGGGGAGAGGGGCAACATCACAGCTACCAGCAAGCCTTGTCCTCTTCTGATGTCTTTCTCATCCTGTCTCACTGTTCCTTGGAGCTGTAAGCCCTCTGGCTGGGGCTGACAGAACTGAAGAAACATTGCTTAATGATGAATTTAGAGGGTTACAGTCTGGAACAGTGCTTGCACTGCACGGTTTCTGAAGGTTTGGGGAGTTTTTTGTTTGATTTTCTCTCATTTGGTTTTGGAAGGAAGGACACAGAGGCATTATTGGTTCATTTGTTTGTTAATATCTACCATTTACTTTCCTTACCCTCCCATCATTTTATATTTTTTTATTTTTTTAGTAATGCTTGTAAATTTATCTCAAGCAAACTACTGCAGGTTCTGAGTGCACGGTGCCGCATGTGGCAGTACATATATGCAGTGGCAGTACACATACACAGCTTGTCTTCTGAATGCAGTCTGCAAGGGGGAGAAGACATTTTATACCGAGTCAAAATCTGTTCTCCAAAATCTTGCTCTGTTATGTTTGTAATGCCAGTGATAGTTGTGCTGAGAACAGGATGGCCATTGTAATCTTAATGCTCAGATGACTATGTGGACAGTTTCCTAATTTGCTTTGCTGTGGACGGTCACCTTAAAGGCTGTAAGAATTTTTATAGAGTTTGTCAAGATTAAATATAGTCCACACTGGAATCCTATGATGGCCTTACAGACAGTTAATAATCAATATGCACTATTCTTTTTAACATGGACAATTTTAAGGTCTATCAATAAAGTTTAATTAAGACAGCAATAGCAAAAAAAATAAAATAAAAATTCACTTCTCTTTTTTGAAATAATGAAAAAAAAAGAAATCAGGTCTTTTAAACTCCATTACAGATTAACAGGAAAATAAAAAAGTTCATAATTACATTCTGGTAAATAAAAGAAATCACATCTCTTTATTAGAAGCAAATGTCATGTAAGTATTGTCCTAATGAACCAAAACAAATTGCCAGCAAATCTGAAGGTAACTTAAAGGCTTGGTCCTAAAATTTTGAGAGCTGTGGATTTTTATGCTAAAAATTAAAAAAGAAAAAAAAAAAAGGGAAAAAAAAAAGGCAATTTAAGTAGTAGTTACTACTCTAATTAGGTAAAGGAGACATAGTGCATACCCATGTTCATTCAGAAAACATACAAGAAAATGTAAGAAACCTTTTTGTCTTATTTTAAAAGAAGTGTTATTTGTTCTATATTAAGATAATCTTTTTTAAAGAGTTATTTGAAAATATGTGCAATGCTTTTTTTTAATGCAGTTTTAATAATGAAAAAAAAAAAACTCATTTCCACTTTTGTTTATGTCAGTTAAAATATGCTTCTTGTGCTAGAACAGTGTTTCTGTGCTTGGGTTATTTGGGCTTGATGGCATATAAGCTATTGTCATTGGCAAATCAACAAATTTTCTATTAATTAATTTCTATAGCACTGGGATTACAGAAAATTTTCCTTCCAAAATTAAATGTTAGGCCTCAGCTGCCTGATTTTGTAAAGTTTTAAGCAGAGGAGGAAAATTAAAAATGTTTTGGAGCTGCGATTTTTAATATATGAACTGTTAAACCCTGTGTTGTTTTTTTTAATATATGATAGTCTCACCAATGTACCATTATATTTCCAAAAGAGCAATTCATGAGTGGTGTTCAAAGTGAAATTGCTGCTATTTTTGGAAAGGGACTCCCAATCGCTCTAAAAACGAACATATTCATTCACTTTTTATTGGCCTGCAAATGTTCACAACTAGCCTGTTGTATTTTTAGAACAGTACATTATAAAATTTGAAGTATTTGTGACTTGAACATACAACTCCTTAGAAGCCTTAAAAATGGCACTGTACTGAGTTTTAGTTGGCTCTGCCAGTGATTCAGCTCCCAAAGCCACTGTCCCTTTTCTGCTCAGCCCCTGAAGTCGTGTAATCCAGAGTGACTGAGATGCTGTGATTTAACTCTGCACCCCCTGCACTGCCTGCGCAATGCCAAGGAAAAGACCCCAGCAGGTTGCTGAGGTCCTACTGCTGCCTCTCTTGCTCCTGTGCATGGTGGGAAGCAGACTAAATTGCATTTGTGCATCCTTGCTAAACAAGCTTAGTTAGGTTGAGGCCCTACAAGGGTTGCATGATGAAAATAATCACAACACGTGTCCATGAATTTACAAGCTCAACACTGTAATTACTAATTCTGCAGTGTAACAATGCAGAATGTGGGAAGAATTGTCTAAATACACAATAAGCCATTTAATTTTGCTAATTGTAGCAATTAGACTAGCTTGCATGAAGCCCGTGCTCTCAGCAGAAAGCCAAATGGAGTAAGTGGCAAGCAGCCATTTATATACCAGAGACATTATGTTATGAAACCCTCCCTTGATTGTTTATAGAGCTAGGTCTTTTCTTTACAGCATTGAATCCATTTCTCTTTATTCTGATAAAACAGATAAAGCTCAAAATGAGAATAGATTCTTTAAAGTCTGGGAATAAAAAAAAAAAAAAAAAGAAAGAAAGCATCAGATTACTGCAATTCACACATAGTGATTTTTTGAAATACATTCAGTCATCATTTCCACTTGGCTTCAGATTGCTGAGTGATCTGCATCAAAGCTGATTTCTCACATCTGGTATGAGCAGACTTCGTTATGGGAGAGATGGAGATGACCTCACAAGATCTTGCTCACACAAGGTTAGGGGAATAGTGTCTTTGATTTACAGATCACTTGCAAAACTTTTTTAGCATGTGAGCAGTCCACTGGGATCATTTGTAAACCTGTTTTACCATACTGACCTCACTGCAGGTGTTTGGTGGGATTTCTTCACTTTTACTCTGGTATGAACATGAGAAAAAAATGCAGGTGAATAATTGCACATACACTAAGCAGTGCTACCGCAGCATGAATCAAAACATTTCTTCTTTTTTTCCTCCTTAGTTCAAACATTTACGAATATATCCATTTTGACTGAGTTGTCATTTTGTGATCTCTCAAGGACACTGAGAAATGTTTATGAAACCACAGCTGTTTCCAATGATCCTTATACAAACCAACTGCTGACCAGCACCTTCATTAAAAGGAATTTTTCCTAAATACATAAGCTTGGCTCCTGTACTTACATTTTGTTCTGAATGCATAGCATCTAATTCTTATGCAGAGAGTCGTATATACTCGTTAGTAAGCCATGTGCCTACTCTGAATCCTGGAGCAACGAGGACAGATATGCAAAATGCAGGGAAAAAAAGCCCTCTTCAGCACATTTAGGGGGTGATTTGCATATGTTACAGATGTAAGAGGGGAGCTTGTGTATAATTTCAGTGGAGTTATAGGTGCTGTATGAATTGATAAATATTTGCAAGAAATTGTGAGATAAGTGGCCAGCCAAGATTAAGGTCAAATTTAAACCTCTACATGCAGGGCACTGTAAGATAAAAACAACCAAAAAAATAAAACCTAACCAAAACTCTCATTTCCAGGAATAGTTGGGATAAGCTTAGAAATGCAATGGATTTGACAATGTAACTACACTCTACAATCGTACAAACAAAGATATGACTGCTATGGATACAAACATATCTGTATCTGTAGATTTTAGCCTTGTATTTCATATAGCTTTGGAAGCAATTGCTTCTCAATTGTGCTTCTGGGCACGCCATAGCCCTAGGCATGCCAGCAGCTTTTCTACATGAGGAATCAGTTCTTCTACAAGCAAGGCCACATCCAATTCACCAACAAGTGATTTCCTCACCATAGAAAAGCTGCTAATCAAATGTTTGGAAGAGCCTTCACAGATGTAGCATAGTGCTCGGGCAAGTAGTCCCCCAGTTCCTCCCCAACCTCATGCACAAAAGAGCCCACAGAGAGGAAAACCACGTGCATGGGTTGGATGAAGCCACAGCACACGGGGAGCAGATAGCTGTGCCATACACCCAGGAGTCAGCGCAGGCACATTAGTGGCCTCAAGCTAATGCTGTGATCTTCTAAACTGCAAGAACCAGAGCTCCTGAATTTTTTCACCTGGAAGGTTCAGGCATCTACAATTTGGCTCCCGGCCTTGATCAGAAAGATCTTGGTCTTCACAGCTCGGCTCTTGTCTCCCCACTGTGCCCACCAGGATCCTTCGAGCTGATGTTATTCTTCAAGCTGGTCCTTCAAGCCTGTCATACCTGAAGGGCAGGGGTCTTCTGGGGTTCTATTGGATGGAGCTCTGCACAGGAACACTCACAAATGCTTTTCCTGCAGTAGGCTTGGGGCAACTAAAGACTGAGGGGAGAGCCAGGCTCAGTTATCTCTTCAGCTAGCAATGATTCATATCTCTATCTACTATCTCTCAGGGGAAGGCTATAGGGCTGCACGCTACTGAGGAGAAGGGCATGCTCACTCCCTCTTGTGCTGAGGCTGTTCTCCCTCTTTGTGGAAAACTTAAAAGCTATGCTGTGCAATGTAGACATACTTCCAGTGCTTTGACATATTCAGTCCCCTTAGTGTGGAGGACTCCGAAGCTGTTGCACACGTCCAGTGCCGTTGCCTGTCCAACCAGAGTAATGTCTACAGCAAAAATTCAGGGCAGATGCAAAATCCCTCTGCTCACCTTCCAACCTGACCAAAAGCTGTATGAACATGGTTAGCACTGTGACAAAGCCTGAATCAATACATGCTGCCTTCAGTCAGGTCTCTTAATGCACTGTCTGCTACCCTGGCCACGTTCACCTGGTTTCTTGTGGGAGCTCAGGCAGACCTCATGTGTGCACCAGAGCTACACCACGTGGCCATCTCTGTAGCTTCCTGAGCCCGTGGTGCACACCCCTTGTGATCCCATGTCTTTTGCAGAGCAAATTCCACTTTGGGCAGAGTAAAGGGCAAATTGGCTGTATGTAGTCTAGGGAAGCATGTGGAGTAGACATGGCTTCTCTGGATAATATGTTTGAACGGAGCTGTGTGCAAATTGCACAGGGTATGACATTCACAAGTAGTAAGATAAGTGTCTGCAGCTTGGAGCATGCTGTAAAGAGTACTCTTTGTTACAGTGTTTGCTTTTCCCATAATAAAAATAATACCATCATGGTTCTTACTTGAGAGCAAATTTACAGTATCGGATGTGTTTACATATATACACACTATACACACACACAATATATATATACATAAGTGTTTATACTCATGTATGTATGTGTGTATTTGTGTGTATAGTTGTGACAATGAGTCCTGAGATTCTATTAGGATTTAATCATATATTTCATTTAAATTCTATAACTGAAGAAAAAGCATCAGGAGCACCATCATCAAGGGTAATCAGGTGATAAGTGCAAAAGGAAAAGCACATTATCAGAAAACACATTCCAGTCATTATTGGAAACAACTTTGAGATGCATTATGTCAGTAATTTAATGAAAAGTTGTGAAGGAAAAAGGTCTAATGCTATGTTTCATCATCTTAAATATTTTGGTAAAAGAATAGAGTAAAAAAATAGAATTGTATCAAATAAATAAGGATTTGTCACAGTTAGTAGAGAAAAATAAAATCATAGGCAAATGACAAAGGGATTGATTAACCCTTTGTTTCATTTAATGTTGGTTATATTTGTTTCACTGAGTATCAGTGTTATTGATGTCAGTAATTTATCAAGGAACTAATCTGTAATAAATCAGCATGGTTTACTTGAAATTTGACTAGAAACACTGAAAAGAGTGTTTGTTAGCCAGCATATATACAGTTGCCTGGTACATGCTGTCAGAAGAACAGATTTGCTAGTCCATGGATTATGTACTGAAGATAAATTTCAGATGCATGCATTTAATGATAACAATACCTCTGTCAGTTTAACTGTACCATGAATACACAGGAGCTGTTTCTGAAATCCTAATTACTGTTGCTTTTTTTCAGTATGCATTCTGCACTATTATCTGTGTATCCCAGATTGTTTCTTAACTAATGTTTGATAAGAATTAATTTAACATTTTATAAAGCTGAGGAAAAGATTACTAGCCAGTTAACCAAAGGATTTTGTTTTCAATTGTGTGATACGCATAAACATTTTTTAAGCTTTAAAAAGGTTCAAAGCCCCAATTCTGCAAATCCCTTGCTGAATACAAAAATAGCTCATTGGTCTTCATGAAAGCATGGGTTGTATGGAAGCTTAGCTCCTCACCCAACCATCATTCAGGTATTCTGTCACTCGTTCAGCATAGCACTTGGAAATGATCATAACTTTCCCGCAGGACCTGATTTATAGGCAGATACAAAACTAACCATGGTGGCTGTCTCAGACAAGTTCAGAAGTGGCCACTAATCACCCCTAACATTGTTCAGGCATCCCTACTTTGGGACATATGGAGGAGATACCTCACTGAGGACATCCGTGGGATTGCCACGATGCTCTATGCAGGGTTTAGCCTTCAGACAGCACTGCACAGACGATGAGAAATCTTCATTTATCAGCAGAAATGGAAACTGCCACCAGTTACAGCTGCGCAGTGCCAGCATATGGTCACATATTTGTGGCTGCTATTGATTCCTCCTATTTTATTTTATTGGAACAGCTTGAAACTTGTCAAGCTTTGCTTGGGTTGATTTGCAGTTAATTAATTCAACAGACATTTTAAATCTCGCAAATTTGTGACTTGTAATATAGTAATCAAGTTCCTGTGAGCGTATGTTGATCAGCTGGGGGGTGGGGAGGGGAGAGAAAACCCTTGATAGCTGTGTGCAGCATGGTGCCCACACTGCAAAGGGGCATCTACAAGAAAGGCAACATTCACCCCAGCTAAGCTCTCATCGTTCATCTAATGAATCGTTCATCCATTTGATTTGTCTTGGATGAGCCAGGAGCTGTATTTAAGGAGGATTGCTGGGGCTGAGACAGCTCTAGGTACTGTTGGTGGGGATCAACACCTCCCCTTCTGGTCACCGGTTTCCTTACCAACCAAAGAGTCATTCTGCCCAAGAGCAGCCCAATTTCATTTCTGAAATGACCATACCTCTGGTGGAACAGTATCTCCTGGAGAAATGACAATATAAAAAAAAAACACAGAACACTAGGACACTGGAAATCAAGTGAATGAATGGAGAAACTTTTTTTTTCTTCATTGCCTTTAACATACAGGTGGATTTTAGCTACTTTGATGTGAAGCAGAAGGGGAAAAAAATCTAATGTCTGCAGAGGATGCAGAAGTGCGTACATTAGTCGATGACTAATCAGTATGTACTTTTTTACTGTGGAAGCACTGGTAACCTCAGCAGGGAGATCAAAAGACTTGAAAGCTAGGAAGTGATTCCTCTGGTCAGGGTTAAAGAGGTGTTTGTGAAACACTGTGGAAAAGCTGCTCCTGTTGTTTCCGTGAATAAAGGGAGGAGCAGAGTCTTTCAACAGGAAAAAACATCAAATGCCAAAACACTTTTTATGGTGCAGTTACTCTTTTCTCTAGTAACGATGTTGGTTAAGAAAGCTCTAGGCATGTTACGAACTGTAACATATGGGGAGACAGTGAATGACACTTCATAGATATAAATGTTGCTATTGACAGGAGATGTTTATTAGCAATAAGATAAAAAAGTGTCTCAAAATAAGGCCTGAGAGACAAGGATTTTTTATGGTTGTTATGTCAATGATTGTTAAATGTAGAGATCATAGATCTTTATAATAGCTTATAGGTCAAAGAATTTTTCTTTTTATTGTTCCTTACAGAGGATAAATCTCAGATGGCTTCCACAAAAGCATATCACATAAAACAGGCTCATAAGATGGGCTTTTCTTTGTATGGAATATTATAGGCTCAGTGTTGTTCAAGTGCTTGTGCATTTTTTCATGATCTCAGCTTTTAATGCAGTACATGCATAAGCTAATAGTGGATTCGCAAGTGCATCTTCCTTTAGCTCAGTAACTCCCCACATGCTCATTCATGTACAGGTCAGGAGCACATATGTGGTGGGGAGAGAGGTGTGTGTGCACTTGTAAAGGTGCAAAGCAGATGAAAAATAAAGATGGAAACCAGTAGATGACATGGTAAAAGCCTTATAGTTAGGGAACAGCTGTGAACCTTTAGAGTAGGTGAGCCCTCATGGTATTTTTTCATGCTCAGGTATTCTGTCACTCAGCTCATCATGGAAATCACTGCTGAAGGACTTTCAACTGTATTATAAGTTATTATTTTTTGCTTGTTTAGAAGTAGAAACAGTATCACCCTGACTCTCAACAGAAATCACTGTGGAGGCATCCATAAGCTTCATGCATGATCTGTAAGTGTAGTACGTCATAACAGTTCTGATTTCTTCTAAGATCCACTTAAACAAATTTGCAAGATGTATTAGATATTGTTCTGATTTTCTTCCTTGGTTCCATTTTCTTCCTGTGCTTATGCATGTCATATGCAAACCCCACTGCTGAGAGAAGATGACACTCAGGTTATAAAACAGACTTTTTTTTCATGTAGTAGTACAAAACACAAAAATTCATTTGCATAACACCTAGCTATTGAGAAAAACTCTATAACTAGAGAAGGAAAAGCAAGTTAATTATGCAAATATTGATTTCATTTTAGCCAGTGCAAAACAGGGAAAAAGAATACAGATAGCTGTCATATTTTGCTGTTCGACTCATCTTGCTTCATAATTCCAAAAGCTGTGGTATATGCCCATAATAACCTGAAATTGAATATTCCTTGCTTCTGAGAAACTGGCAGAATAGCCACTAATTGTGGATCCCATTAGATTAGCAGGCACAGATCTCCTAGCAAGCACAGATCCACTGTGTTTCTTCTTTAACTGGACTGCAGTTCCTTTAAATCAATTCCCATTGATTCTCAAGGACACAAACTGTCCTCTGTGTAATTTGTTCTACATGGTGGGACAGATATTTTGCTGTCTATTCTTTGAGTTGTGTATTATTAACAAGCTAATGTTTATTCTAACAAATGAGCATCACTGTATTTTCCTGCAGGTGCCTTTCCATCTATAAGGTTATCTCAGCAATGGAAGCTGGTTCTGTTCTTGTTCCCATGCTCATTACCTGCATCTTTAATCAAATGCTAATTTAACAATTGTTTGTCATGCTGCAGATCCATGCAAAGCACAGTCTGACTTCTGGATTTGACCCAGAGCATTAGCAAATGGGAGAGTCATCTTCTCACTGCAAGCATTGGACATGGATACCACTGAGATGCAATAAACAAAGTTCCTTAATGTGCTCATTTTCCAGTAATTTTCCAGGGTGCAGTTGTGCTTCAACACTTTGCGCAGCTCTCTGCAATCTTCTTTTATTTCAAAATAAATAAATAAATAAAATAAAACAAAACCAAAAAAAAAAACAACACAGCAACACCCCTCCCTCCCACCCCCTCAAAAAAAAAAAAAAAAAAAAAAAAAAAAAAAAAGAAATTGATACACACACATAAAAACAAAGAAGCAAACAAAAACCTTTAATTGCTCTTCCTCATTGTATATTGTTCTTATGGAATTTGCTATGTGTGAGGAGAACGTTATTTAATTCACATTGGAACAGCCTTTCCTCTCAACACATTCCAAATGGATTCTTACAAAAACTATTAATAAACCCAGTAGTAATTAAAAAGAGCGTATTCTCCAGTCATTATATGAAAATGTATACTCAGATAAGGCTAACTAATTTGTGCATGCTTCCACCTTTCATCTCTTAAGATACACAGCTCAAAGTTTGTTCTTCAGATCATCAACCCCTCATTAGTAAAACTAGTGAGCCTTGCAAAGCAATTTCATGTGACACAAATGATCCTAAAAGACTCAGACTTGGTAGCAGTTGTACAGTTATGCTTACAAAACCTTCTTGAATGGTCTACAGCTAAGCAAAAAATAAAAATAAAAAAATAAAAAATAAATAAAACAGTGATGACGACAACAACAACAACAAAAAAGGCACTCTCAAAGGACTGATAATGAAATTCTGCCTGGTGAACACACCGATAAGTCATACTTACACCAGCACTTCGGACAGGAGCATTCATTATACTGTGATTTGCCTTGATTATAGACAGTTTATAGTCATAAAGGGCTTGCTTGAAGGTCTACCATAGCAAATAGATGCTTTCATCTTTAATAGACTCCAGTAAGCCCCAGGAGTAAGCATGTGCGCATTTCGCTTCTCAATTTCACAATGCCTATCCAGATGAAATTTATTTTTAAGGAATCTCTTTAGTCACTATTTTACAGCTCACTTGTACTCCACTATCAAGTGAAGTATCAGTCATTGTCCATTCAATTCTGATTAGGCTAAGTCAAAGAAAATGTCTGGGGAGGGAATATCAGGCTTTGTATTAAAAACAGTCCACTGGAAATAATACTAGAGCTTTTCTAGGTCTTCCAATTCTGTGAGTCACTGGATGAGTCCAAAACACCTGGCTGGGTTCCAGAGTAAATTTAAATAGCTGTTTAAATTGTCTTAATATCTTATTAAGGTGTTAATAGTACTTCAATATTTTCTATGAAAAAAAGTATCCTTCAAGCTACACATTTTAATTTCAAGAAAAAGTCATGTGTCACTAAAGCCTAAATCATTGGGCTTTCAGGCAGCAGGGGAAAAAGTGGCAAGCTGGGGAGGCAAAATACTAAGCTAAGCTCAGGCAAGAGTCCCCTTGCTCAGCCCACCAGTCTGCCGCGCCAGCCCTTCCCAATACTTGTGTGCCCTACTTTCACCACTGACACCATTAAAAATGAATCTAGCACTTGGATCCTGATCAACCCCATCTCAGTCTTCAGTGCTGGGTCCCACAAGGCAGGGACAGAGGCACCTCAATGACAAGAAGGTAGGGTCAGGCAGGTACAGGCGGATCCTCTTTTTTTCCAGTTTCCCCAGTGGCTGCCACTGACACAGCTGAACTGGCGATGGGGAGAGGGTCTGCCTCTTCCTGGCGCAGATGCTGCCTTCGAGTGCTGAGACTTGTGGGTGGTGTTTGTAGCCTGCCACTGTGAAAAAGAAAGCCAGCGAATAAAAGTTGTAAAGCAGTGAAGGATTAGATGAAGAATTAAATACAAAAACACTGAAACATCAAGCTTGATGCCTAGTCCTTAGAGGTTAGTGCTAAGAACAGAAGCAAGTTTATTAGCTGGTGCAATGCGGTCCTCAAAGATGCCAGTTGTAGTTTTCTGTCCTTCACAGATTTATATGCAGAGGGAAAAACAAAGGATTGCCTTTACTGTTTTCACATGAAGAAAAACTTTTTCACAGCTGTTTCAAATGTGTGCCTTTCAGCATCTTGGGTTTTATGAAGGCCTGAAAAATACTTCTTTCCCCTCCAAAATTAGGCTATTAACCTTTTTCTGCTTAGGTTTACATAAAACAATAAAGCCTTGTCTTTTCTGAGAAACTGAGATTCTCACAATCCCCCTCCCTCCCCTCTTCTCACCCCCTAAAAAAATACAATTGAGTAAATGAGCAGGAGCCCCTGGCAAGCATTTTGGGGGAAGCTGCAATAGTCTCCCACTCCAGTGCTCTACTTTTCCACTTAGATCTGTAGCAAAAGCGGGAAAAATGAAAGGCCATGATGTGCAGAGTGTGCAAGGGTAATTGGCAACTACCAGTGGCTTTACCCTGTCACCTTAGTTTTTAGGTTCAAACACTTTGAACATTAGTGATTCCTCATTTTGGGCCACCAGAAATGAAGTTGGGAAAAAACACACATTGCTTTTGAAAATCATCATCAAAATACAGGAAGATTAGAAAGTAAAATCAAGAAAGAAAGAAAAAAAAAACTTTTAAAAAGAGCTTCAGGATTTCATTTTTTAATAGAACACAAACATTAAAGAAGGTGTGGATACATTTCTCTCTTTCATAAGTTATAAAAAAAAAAAAAGAAAGATACACATTTCAGAAGTACAAACCCTATGTTTTCACAGGCCTATCACAAAAATTTAAAAATACATAAATAAATAATTTAAGTTTGTGATGCTCCCTTCTGTGATTTTCTTAAAGTCAGGTGCCAAGAGCAGAATTCATGATTCCAAACTGCATGTGCCAATGTTGTTGCAGGGAACAGCAGTGGGATCCAACAGCAGGCTGCAGGAAAGCCAGCATAATGCACATTTGATAAGGGGAAGAATTAATTACGTGGTCACTACTGACAAGAAGAACACATCTCCAATTTGGCCCGTGTCCTAGAAATAGGCTTATTTGTGAAATTCATTTCCAGAGCCTGCAGTCTCCTCTTGTGCTTGTAGACAAGCTCTGCACTTAGGTAGAGAAAGCTGCCTCACTCGTGTGGTCAGGCAGGAGTTGGAAGGGAAAGCCAGGGCTGTCTCTGTGCTGTTGGCCAGAGCTTCAGGACCAAGGTGCAGGTCCAAATCCCTGCTCATCCTGGGTAGATTCAAGCCAACACTTCCTCAGAGAGTCTCCTGTCTGCAGGAGGGAGGTCACCAGCCCTCTTGCCAGATAAGAAAAGGTCACCATGCCTCCTGATAGGCAGTAGTGCTGGGTGAGTGTGGGGAGGTCCAACGGGAGATACTCTGTGGTCCAAGGTGCAGGCTGATCTTCTCTTTGGGGAGCGTAGTGCATTGGACAGTGCAACTGGGTGGCCCCATTGCTCTGCCTTGCCACCTGCTTGGGCTGGGTTTTACACAGAATGTGCTGGAACATTGGCAGAGGGGATCCCTATCACCTGTGTACGTCCCCTGAGGATTCAGACATGTGGGAACATCCCAGGCATGCCTCCAGAACGTCTCTCCTATCAGTCCCACAAGACGTAGGCATGGGACCCCTGGGCCTCTCTGGACTCTCAGGTGGCCTCAGTGGAGGATGAGTGCATAGAAGGTCACTCAAGCTGAGATGGTGTTGTCTTTGGGCACAGGCAGTGATGCATCTTCAGGCATTCGTGATGTATTTCTGCCTTTCAGGAGCTGCAGTCCCAGAGGTAGACCAGATCTTATGTGATGCGTGATAAAAAGTAAATGACTTCCTAACAATACAAAAAGCCTGTAAAAAAAAAAAATGCACATGCAAATAGACTCAAATACTTGAAATTCAAATTCCAGTAGTATATTCCGTGTTCATTCCTATGTTATTATTACTAAAATCATTTCCTTGTTTTGTTCAGAAATCATAAAGACTCCTGCTTGGCTTTAAGTTGTTGCATGATATAAAATTAATTCCAAATGGGTGGATTTTTACTGTATATGTCCTGGATTTAAGTTTTCAGTTATTTTTCGTAAATACATTTTACATCTAACTACCTCAGCTGCCTTTTGTTTTGTTTTGGCACATAAAAAGTCATGCACTTTCTATATTTGGGGATTTGGGGGGGAGGAGTTCTTTCCATTTTGAATAACCAGGTTTAAAGCCATGTTGATCAATTTATAGAGGAGAACAACTTAACAAGACATAATTATTGACAGTTGCAGAACATACATTTTATTTTTAGGTTCTGTTGGGGTATAGTTTAATGAAAAACACCATAAGCTGCTTATTAATTTGCCTTAAAAAATGTGTGCTCTTTCCTATTCAAGTTGTGTTATTTAACTCTTATCTTGTACACAATTTATGTGACAACAACTAACGTAACAGTTGGCAGATAAACAGCAAATTGAACAGAATGGACCAATAGTTTCTCAGTTCTCTGTTGTAAACTGTTGCATTATACACTGATTGTGCTAAAATAATTGTTACTGTGCTTATACTCCTTAGTCACCGTTGCGGAAATGAAGTTATGGAAGATCACATTTGTGTTTATGGAGCAGTGTAGATATCCCCCCAGTACAAGCACAGTGACTTGAGGTGAATGATAATCATTGCTGAACTTGTGCTTTGACTTGTAAACATTGTAAAAATGTATTTGGTATTTTATTTGAAATGAAGAATCAAAATAGTTATTAAAAAAAATCTTCCTGTAAATATATATATTCTGATTCCATGTATACAAACATTCCTTTAGAGTTCAGATTGTGAAGAGTGTCTTTATTGGCTAGAGACCACTGTCTCCCTGGCAGAGGTTACATGTGCTATAGTAAAGAACACAGTGTGTGAAGTATTTGATGTACTGCAGTACCATAGTTCTTTTGGTCTGTTAAGTAAGTTGCAATTTGTGATGAAATGAAGTTGAAAGTAGTGCTTCATACTAACAAATTTCCTTGGTTACAACTTGATTTTTCTTGTAAAACTTAAAAGGAAAACTTGAAAATTTTATATATTTGGATTTTGTAGATTTTTTTTATTTTATTGCAACACAAGGTACCAAAATCATTAAATAAAGTACACTGTGGTCATTTTACCATGGCTCTAGAGTCTTTCTTAAAACTCTTCTACTATGGTGGGTCAGTGAATGATGCCATCTTTTGAGCTTCTGACATTATCAGACAAGACCAAAGCTGGCCCTGCTTTGACTGGGGGTTGGGCCAGATGATCTCCAGAGACTCTTCCCTCCATTAATCATTCTATGATACGAGCAATACCATCACAGGAGCACCATCCCTAAGCACAGGAGTGGTTCGAGCAGCTTCCAGGCTACCCCTGGGACCTGCAGAAGACTTGACAGTTCCCCATAGGACTTAGACAGTCTTACTGGTGTTGTCACAGCAGGGAGCTTGAGGAAACCACCAGACAAACCAATGGCCACCTCACCCAGAGCGGGGTGCTCCGGCCACTGCGGTCAGGGCCCTGAATGGTGTTTCAAATAAAGACCTCCCAAAAAGCTGCCCTTGCCCAGGGAGCAGGCCTGCTCCTTGGCCCCTCAGGGTCTAAGTGCTCTACAGCATGGGGCCAGACACCTGGCTGATTCCTGGGGGTCCACAGCACCATGAAGAGAGAAGCAAGAGGATCCTGACCCTGCTGCTGGGCACTGGGGGTGCTCCCTAGGCAAGGGGGAGACTTCTGGACTCTGCTGTCAGGGCTCTTGTAGCATTTCAACCACACTGAATATAAAAAGAGTGAACAGTGCAGAAACCCAGGACAGAAACCCCTCCATTACTTGAGAAGGCCACTGCTCACAGAGAACAGGAGGTGGTGCTCTGCTGCTTTTATTCGCCTTTCAGACTCCTGAAAGGATTACTATTTACTACGCAGTGATCCCCATAGGGTGGTGAGTGAGGGAAAGGTGGGCCTCACCCAGCCTTGTCCTTAGCATGGTAATTAGAAAAACACCAGAGAAGAAGCAGCTTCCTTGATCTTCCTGTGTTCAAACCCCCTAGGGTTGAGGAGGGTTTAATTTCTTCTACTGCCTCCTGCATAAGTGCTCTAATTATTAGATTATTACACAAGTTGTTCTGACTTTGCCTGCACCACCGATGGTCTTAACAGTCCTCTTGGACTTCATTGCCACATTCGTGTGTGCAATGTCACCCCAGGCAGCACCTGGAATTTGTGCAACAAAGGACAGCACCCAAATCTCTCAGCCTTTCTGCCCCTTAGCCATGCTCCCACTCCTTAGGTGTTTCTTCTTGCCCTCTCTTAGGTGACCAAGAAAGGGAGACCAGGGGAAAACAACCCAACAAGCAGCAACTAATAATTAGCGTGAGTTCAAAGAGAGGAAACATATATATATATGTTGAGTAACTGAATTTGATAGCACATGGTGGATTACAAGTGACTGATGGATTCTTCAAGGTTTTGTTTTTCATATATATCTTGTACTTTGGCTAAGGAGGGAGCAGATTGTTATTGTAGCTTGGCAAAGTGCAATGGGGAAGCAACAGCCCAGCAACACAAATGGTAACTGTCCTACTGTCACAAGATCCCCTGTCCCAGTAATTCTGCAACTGCCCACCAAAGAAACCAGTAGAATCCAGAAAGAAAGATGCTCATAAAAATTTTTCTTAACTACTCATGTGAACTAGGGGGCAGAAGACATCAGAACCAGTCTTGAGCACTGTAAAGTCATTTGATGACACCCCATGGGTATATAATTCATGAGGTGAAAAAGCATTAAGTGGGTGGGTAGCTGCCATAGTGTGAGACTAGTTACCTTGGGGTAAAAGGGATTTACTTGACATGTTTCTAGGCAAACTATTAACCTCTCAGGCAAAAGTCTCCTCCAGAATGTTTTAAATGTAAACTTTCCACATGAGAGAAGCAAAGCAAATTCTTTCTGAGCTAAGCAAAGATAGCAGACATTTTAAATAGATTCTTAACAGAGGAAAGAAATGGAGAAAATTTTGCAAGTTGCTTGAATCGTGCTTATTCAGAACAGTTGCCACCTTTCCTGCCTTAAAAGAGAGAAATGGCTATGGTTCCTGTAGAAAAACATTCTGAAAACAAACAAACAAACAAACAAAAATATAGGGACTTGGTAATAAAAATCCCAGGTGACTTGGCAAAATTATCAAAGAATGTTTTTTTCTCCTACTTACTTAGCTCATATGAGCAGTATTAACTGCTCATAAAGTACCCAGAGACCTATGTGTATGGGAAGGAGCAGTGCCTTCCTACCACCACAATGGGAATCTTGGAAACCAACCAGAGATGGACAGTTCTTCTCCTGTGTACTTCACAGGGACAAGACGCATTTATTCAGTGAATTCTGTGCTATGTACTTGAGGCAGGAAAATACTTATACTGTATAGTATTCTTGCTGCGGGAGTACTTCAGACCCAGAGTCAAGCACAGAACCACAAGTGAATTTGACATAAAGATGAGTTGGAAACCTGCTGTCTGTCATGTTCTGGGGCAAGTGAGCTGTAACATAGACTACACTCTTAAGTAGGTTGTTCACACAATAATACCTATTTAAACTAGTTTACATTGAAGTTATTCTCTTGTGCTCACCAGTGCTTCTTGTCACTGTGAAAGGGGGAAGAGAACTCATTTACTGACAAAATTTACTGAATTTACTGTCAGAATTTACTGACAAAAACATAGCTCCAGAGCATGTAGAGCCAGACAGACCAGACAGGCATCTTTTTACCTGTGTGCCATTGTGTTCATCTTGCACACTGGACCATGCATATTGTAGACTTCATGTTTGTTTCTAAGCGGTAGGCTTTTCCAAGATAGCAAGATTTCTCATTCACAGGCTACACACAAAACTAAAGACAAATGGATGCTTGTACTTAGTGGGTCTTCCAGGAACCAAGCCATTCATTTTCAGCTGGGTTCCTGTTAAGTGCTGTGAGCATAAACTATACTGCCATGAGCACATCAATAAGCATGGGAAGTGTTTCCCACTGCTGTGTGACTGCCACAGGCACTCACAGAACTGGCATTATTAACCAAGTAGACCAGCTTAGAGAGGGAAAGATCAATGATAATGTCCCAAAGTATAGAGGGATAAGCCTAAGTACTTTAGCTTTATAAATAAATTGAAATTGAGCTAATGGATTATTATGGCTCCTGCAGTTCATCTCCAAACTATCTCATAGTTTTAAGCAAGTTAATCTTGTATTGACCTTAAATTTCCTGTGTCTGTAAAGTTCACAGGAGTCCCAATTTGGAATGTGATCAACTCCATTGTTGGAAGCAGAAGTCAATAAAAAGGGGAAAGTTGTCTGAGCACTGGCTTGGTGCCAGAAGCATCTGTCTTTACTGCAGGTAGTCTCTGTTTGTCTCCAGCTTAGTCCATTACTGAGTCTCTCGTCTTGCACAGTGCTCTGCAGGGATGTTTGTTTCCACGTGGAATCAGCAACAAAAAAGTCACTGGGCAATGATGTCTGTCTGCAGGAAACATGGTTTAGCTGGAGCTTACCCTGGCGTTTTGGAGGGTGGTCAGGGCCTGCAGATCTGGTCCTCTCAGGTGGGATCCAGAGATGCTCAGCAGCTCTGAAAAATGTGGGCATTGTTTTTCAGACTGAATATTCAAAGCGTCTCAATGTACAGTAGGCATTAGAGGATGCTTTTGGAAAAATAAGCTTTGACTCCTGCATCCACCAGCTGCATTTTCTTGATGAGACAACTTGCATCTCCCTGTAAAAGAAGACATTGTCATGAATAATGAACTAATTTGGAAACCTGCTCTGAAGCAAATTCTACCAAGAACGTAATTGTGTTGTTCCCCTGATACCTGTGCACCATTCTAGCTTCGTCTTGGCTGCCTAGATTACAGACAGTGTTAATTTTCTCACTGCTACTCAAGAGCAAACTAGCTATTTCACAACTTGTACTTACGTGAGAGTTACAGGGAACATCTGGAGGCTCCCTCTAGATGGATCAGGCAGCATTATGCAATTCACCCCGTCCTTATTGCATTGTTTCTTCCTAGAGATCTTTGTAACTCTTCCAAGGGTCTCCCTTTAAGGCTTTCTCTTTTTTGTTTGTTTCTTCATTCATTTATTTTAAAGGCCTGTTTGTCTCCGGTATTTGTTTTTTTTTGTGTGTGTGTGCTTTTCTTTGGGGATGTGCTTTTGCTTGGGGCTGTGCTTGCCATCTGTAGTGTCTATGTTTCAGACACTGTCACCTTCTCATGATGATTCAGATTCCAGCAGGCTGTGCCAGTGCAGCAGTGGGAGAGGTTACGTTGTACCTGTGTGGTACTTCATCAGAGGTCTCATGTCCTCAGGTGTGTCCTACCAATGTCCTGATAAAGGGAGGAAACTTAATCTCCAGAACAACTTCTCTGACTGGTTAGAGTAGTGTCACCTTTTGCCTCCGGTTTCTTCCCAGGATCCATTGTGCTGACTTGCAGTTTCTTTGACTTTTATGTGTCACTCCACTTCGCCCATATTTTCAAATCTAAAAAGCAAACACACAAACAAACAAAAATAAAGTTAGAAATGAGGACTCTCTGCTGGCCCGTAATGGGCTAGAACACTCTCCATTTCTGTGGAGGCATTTTAAGCCTCCAAAGGAATGTAAATAATTGCTGTGTGCTTAAACACCGTTATAGCCTAAAGCGTATAGCATACCTTAAGGGTAACCCTTAATCAACATCTCCAAACATCATATCCATGTGAGCAGCACACTCAGTGCAGGCTTTTATGAGCTTGTAAAGGAAAAATGAGGTTGAAGTTTAAGTTAAGTCTTATGGTATAAAGGAGGAAATGGGCTGTTTTGTCTCCAGTGAGAAGCCCTGGTGCCCATGCAGGGGCTACAGCTCTGGGGGAGAAGGAGCTCTGCCCCAACCATTAGCTGACAGGAGAGTGTTGGTAATTAAGAAGAGACATGCCTTACAGTCAAATCTTTCTAAAGCATGAGCTGCCGTGTGTGACTTGTAGCTAATACTTAATCAAGTTTTAGATGAGCTTTTGCTTTAATATCTGATCCACCTGATCTTTAAAGTTGTAACTATCCAACGCTATACTATTTGTGTATTGGTAGTAGGGTTTTTTTATTTGGACACGCCACCTTATCTCAAATTGTTACTCTGTGATAGCAAGACATGAGGCTGGATGATGCTTTGCCCCAGATTTTAGTGATAATGTCTTCTTCAACACCCTACTGGGACAGGATTTCATTAAAGTGACATATTAATCTAGCACGGAAAATAATTTTTCTTCCCTGTAGAGCATCTCTGTGAGGCTTTTTTACAGAGAGTTACAAAACAAAACTTGTCTTCAGTTTCCCTGAATAGATTGCCAGAATAAGACTGCTGCATGGTCTGCGTCTGTTTTATCTGTTACACAACCCCATGGAATTGCAAAAGGGCAAGTCTTCTTGCCAGAATTTTTACCCATGATCTGAAGCAAACCTCACCAGCGTGTGCCTTGGTTTACATGGCGATATGGGCAGATGATCTGCTCTGCTCTGAGACACATCCCCTCCGAGCTGTGGCTGAGAAGTCACTGCACTGAATTTCCAGTCACTTATGGCATTTCATTGGTAGTGCAAACAAGTGGTACACGAGAAACCTCAATTTCAACTTCTTTTAATATTGTTTTAAATACAGATCTCATAAAACCTTTTTCTTAATTAACTTTTCTTGCATAGATAATTCATTTCACCAGCATACTATGCCACAGGATGCTTCTTCCTGTGCACAGAGATAATATGCTCTGTTTCTATTTCTGCCTGAAGCAGAATTAAAGTAGGAAGGGAAGTGTTTGGTAGCACTTTTATCCTTTGGAGTACTTTTTCTTGTGTGCACCCATGCAACATATTTTGAGATCACAGCTCTCACATTTCCTAAAGGAAGAGGAAGAAAAAACAGGGCAGCCTTAGAGAAAAACAAAAAATCTTGGAAGAACATAAAAGCCTTGTGTTCATTACAGTTTGCCTTGAAGAATTTATCTGACGTTTCTCTGAAACTTGAGTTATCAGAAGCAATAATTTGCTCTGCATTATCTGCTACCTCGATTCAAAAGAGGTTCTGAAGAGGTGTCATTTGAATTCACACAGGAAGCCAGATCTCTTAATAGAAGATTTACTTCTTATTAAGGCATCTGGTGCAGTGGGAAGAAAGCAGAGAAGCTTCTGGTCTCAGCATCTTTTTGCAATTTCTCTTACAAACGCCTGGAGTTATAGGACAAATATGCAAAGACAGTGCCTAGAGATGAAGGTGTAAGTGTCCAGATCAGACCATACAAAAGGAGAAGCAGTGAGGAGACACAGCTGGACAGGCATAGCAGGGAGGGTGAGAAATGGAGCTGGGCACCGTCAGCTGCTGCCTACCCCTGGACAGGCAGCGTGCCGTGTCCTGGCACTTCCCAGGCCCTGCATGTCCAGTTTTTAAGCAGAAGCTGCTCTTTTGTGCTGACATTTTCAGTCCATATCAGGGGGCCCATGCGTGAGTAGCTTACTTCCTGCATGCCAGTTTGCATCGCTGCCATTTTACCTGGTATACAGCCCTGACCTGAGCTCTTCCTGCATGCTGCCAGGACGTGAATGTAGGATTTGGTATTAAATCTCAGCTGAAGTATTCAGAGGAATAACCTCTGCTTCAGCAGTGTGGTTTCCCACTCGTGCCAAGGCAGCAGTGCTTTTAAATTCTCATGACCTCATTGTTTCTGACATTAGAAACGCTGGCTGCAAACTTTCAGCCAGTATGCCCGGGGGAGGAGAGGAAAGAAAAAAACAGCCAAAAAGTTTGCAAATCAACCCATTTTTTATACTGTAAACTTCCCCGTGCAAAGATCCCTCCATTGTTTGCCCTTGGATGCCTGCAAAAGTGATGCAATGTTGTGTTTTTCCATGCTAGGAGTTATTGCTTCTGTATTTGCAAGTGTGAAAGAAGCACCCAAGGGGCAAAGGACATTGAGGATCAGGCATACAAAACACGTTTTCCTTTCATCTTAAAAAGGGGCACAACTGCACTATCTGAGCATCACTGAGCCATCTTGCATTTTGACAGTTTTTCACACCTAAGAAAACTGGCCTTGCTAAATATTAATCCATTTCTGTGCTGGGGACAGCAGGAATTGGTGAGGGGTAGCACTGCTCACTGAGCTAAGAGGCAAAAAGTATGTAAGAGAAAAAAAAAAAAAAGCAGGATCGAGTTTCCATTTTTGATGTGTTCTTGTAATGTCAGTGGATTTCTTGAGAGAAATCAACCTTCAGGCTTTTCTGCTGGTGAATCCAGCACACAGACACAACAGCAAGGGATCCCAGGAAAGGAAACTTGGCTCACCAGCAAATGAACTACATGGAGCCTGTTGTATTTTCTCCATTTGATTTATTTATTTCAGAGAGCTGCCATCACCTGCTGAACATCTTCAATTTGACTTTGCCCCACCCCAGCAATGGCATTTACATTGGGATGAATCACCTCCACCTTCCAATGCATCCTACCAATGCTCAGCCAAATACTTTCTGTTCTCCCCAGTTGCAAAATAGTTGTTGTTCCCAGTAGTTTAATGTTAAATCTGATTGAATTTGATGGAAGCACATTCTCCTTCTGTCCCAAAAAGCTGATACTACAGGCTTGTGTTTTCATTCTTCATGTCTCCTTTCCCATCTCTTGCTTGGCACCTCCCTGGAAAGCATGAGTGACTGGTGAAACAGGACAGCTTGCCAAGGAGATAAAACTCCTTTGAAGGACAGCCTTGACAAAAGAATAAGTCTTTTTCAAGAGGTCCCCCCTCTCTGGGTGAAATTGCATCAGTAGCCAACAATCCCTTATATCTGAGTGTGTCTGTTTCCCTCATTGCTGAACCTGATGTTCCTCTGTATGTTACTTTGGCGCTCAGGAAGACCAGTATTGCAAATATTTGTACTTTGGGACCGGAGCATTTCAGGCTTTATTTGTCCTGATGCAAGCATGCTGCTAACATGGATGCTGTCCATTTTAGACACTGGAAATGGGGCCCAGATCCTCAGAGGTGCAACCTCCTGGTTGATGAAAATATTCCTAAAGACTTCATTCCTACACTTACAGTAATTTGCCTGATAACCCAGGAACCATTATTTCCTTGCTGTCATGGTATGGTCCATGTTTTGCTGTTTGAAGGGATGGTCTGTTAGAAATCAGCACATCTACAGAAACTACTTAGTCCACAAGCTAATAAAAAATGATTAAGCAAAATAATGACAAAGCAAGCAGGAAAGATATCATCTAGACATTCCCAAAAGTAGCAGGCAGATTGAATAATAATGCTCTGCGATTTGTCTTGCAACAGTAGCTAAAGTAGGTCCCACGTTCCTGTTTATACAGATGAAACAGGGAATCACGCGTGCACACACACACACATATGCTGCTGACTAAGTAATAAGATTAGATAGTATCTGGTCCTGCAGCCATTAATAGTCAGAAGATGCTAAGAGGTAAGAAACTAAAAAAAGACTGATTAATGCACTCCGTTGGTAATTTTCTGTCCGCCTTTTTCTGTCAACTCTCTATTCCCACTGCTCTTCTCAGTGTGTTTCTGGGCACCGGTGGGTGCTTAGCCACCTACACACTGAGCTCCCCTTAGCTTTGTGCAGACAGCAACAAAATCAATCCTCCAGTTTTAAACGTTTGCCAAAATGTACATCCACTGTGCCATAAAGAAAGCACTGAAAAAAAATAAATAATGAGGCACCGTGCATGGAGCAACCACAGCGAGCATGAAGCTGGTGTGTTCAGCCTAACGTTAGGTCCACGTACAGCCCAGATGCTCCACCAGAAGGGCTGGATAATTTACATAGTCTAAGAGCATCTGTCAGTTCATCTATCAAAGCTGCTGTGCAGAAGCCTTATTACCTCCCAGAAGCGGTGTTTGCGGATGCTGTATGTCTGACAGAAGATACCAGAGGCTCTTTATATAATGCTTTTTCACTTGTCAGAACAGCAGTGTTCCCTCGTAAGGTTTGCTCTGTGTGGGGATCTTAAAGGTGGCGGTGGGATGTGCACAAACAACAACCAGAATTTAACTAAGTTATCTCCTCAGCTGTAATTTCTAGTGTCTGTTCAGCTGTACCTGAGCCAGCCCTGGGCCTGAGCAAGATACTTGAGGGTACTTGAGCCACTGAACATGGGGTGGCCGGGCCTTCTTCTGAGGCTGCTCCTTCCAAAATCCCCCCTGCCACTGGCTCAACTAAGATGGCAAGTTCAGCCTTGAAAATAACGCCAGATCTGCTATGTTTCTGTGCCAGCAGAAGGTTTTTGCAAGGAGAAAAAGGGGCCGGGCTGCTTTATTTCTCTAAATGTGACTCAAGATTATCCAGAATTAGGATTCCAAAGCCACTTTGGGGTTTGGGTGTGCTTGTTTCATTGGTAGGCCTTGTTTCATATTTCTCGTTTGCAGCCTTTAGAGACTGAGCCAAGTTACAGGAAGCCTTTTCCCTCAAGCTTGTTCTCACAAAGCAAGTTCAACATGCCAAAATGTCTGTCAGGAATGTGGAAATCTACAGGGAAAAAAAATCGACCACACAAGCCTTCAGCTGCTGTGCCAGCTGGTTAAGAAAATTAATCCAATGGACAATAGCCACAAAAGAAAATGAATACATTTCAGAAGGGACAGGGCACTTTTAAAGTTTTTGTGGATCCGTGATGAAAGTAGATTTCATATCGTAAGGTACGAAATCCAACCATTAAGACGTGTCTGGAGAACCTGGCAGCTCCATCACAGCAACTGGAATAGGAGTTCAGAAGCGTTTCTAGGTATCTTTCGTAGCCTTCAAAGAGATCAAAAAGAGAACTAGCAAATGCTCATTGGGTTCTATACTTATCTTCCTGCCTAAGTAGTAATTGAAGAAGCACTGGAACTGCTCTGGGCACAGCACAGACCCAGCCGTACAAGACCACTATTGGGAAAAAAAAAAAAAAGAGGAGTAAAAAACAGTCTGGAATACATGAAGATTGGGTATATCTGCAACAGGAATCACCCCAATTCACCTGCAACAAATTCCCTGTAAAGATGACATTAAATTATGAATTCTTGACCACCCTGACATTTAGTAAATTATTTCTCGTTAAAAGGAACTAAGTAAAAATTAAGTATTTTTAGTTCAGTTTCTTGCCTTGCAACTTCAACTTTCAACTTCAACTTGCTTTTCAACTTCAAGTTTCTTGCAACTTCAATGCTTTTTAATATATATTTTTAAACATAAGATTTTCTCTGTTATTAGAACATCTCGTTTCCAGAGCATGCAATGAAGTTAGCTAGCAAACAGGAGCCAAACATAATTTGAAGAATCACGCTGCACTTTCTCTCCAGTTACAGTAACCGGTGTAGACAGTCCTGCTGTCAGACTACTTTTAGCTGATCTGGGTTACTGCATGGTAGGCAGAAGTACTCAAAAGAAATTTAAAGAGGTCTTGCTCACATGTGCTGGCTGTAACACAAGACCTGGTAGGATAGGTTTGTTTCTGTAACAGCTGACTCAACTTCATAGTGGGAAGAGAAGTATTGCACCTACTTTATATGTGCATAAGCAAGCTTTTTTTTTTTTTTTTTTATTAAAGAAAAGATCTCCCCCCAGTTCATTACACTTTTGTGAGCAATTTTTTTATATGGAGAGATCACTATAACAATTGAATGATATTTCAGGAGGCAACATCTGGTATCACTCTGTATGTAGTGACCAAAACCCAAGATATTAATATCCTGTTATTAATAGTCTGTGCAGAACAAAATTATTTAAGAAAAGCAAACAAGCAAATACTGTGAATAACCCATGATCAGAAGAATAATTTGCTTTGAGACCACCATTCATTTTAGCTAGTCCTGAATGTTAAATATATATAAAATATATAAATATATATAGTAAAATGGGTATTAGCATCATTGGTCTATGTTGTCAAAGACCTTTGTAGAAAATAAGTGGCATCATATAGTCTCATGAAGTTTCAGTAGAGATGTTTAGGAGCCTTATCTTTCTTAATATGCATCTTCCATGCTATTAGGCTCATGCAGCAATTCTAAGCACATTTACTTTTCGCACCCTGTTGGTACGACAGGGATTAAGCACGCCAGTGCTAACAAGTTAAGTGTCCCCAGAACTGTATCTTTCTCTTCAGAATAACAGGATGAAGCAACATAATGGTGTACTTGTGCAGCAAACCCAATACAAGATGAATCGCACAATGGTCTTGACAATGCTGATTAACTGCTCTAGCTTGCATTTCAGTGATTAATTTCATATGAAAGCATCCTAATAATAGATGGGCAGGCTGAGCTCTGCTGTTACACAACAGGGCAGTAAATTGGCCAGTAGGAGGTTTGCTATCTTGCTGAGAGCTAATGACAAATACTTATCAGTACAGCAGCCACTCTATTCCTACTTCTAAACAACCTCAAAATGCACACATCCTGGTTATGCTGTTCGCATGGAGAAATCTGGAAAGTCTTCAGCGTATCCAAAGGCTAATCGTGTAATCAGTGGTTTAGTCTAATACTGTGAAAATTTCCTTTAAGTACTTCTGCCTAACACACAGTAAACCAAATCAGCTAAAAGCAGTTTGTAATCCTGTTTGTGTAAGTCTCCAGATCTGTCCCCCCCTCCTACTCAACAAAATTGGGTGTGCAAATGATTATCTACCCTACTTGCACAAATAAATCCTATTAGTCAGTGTTTATGACTTACTTCTTATTGTGGAATCTTAAATGTAATCACGGTGGTGTTGCTGTGCCTCTTAAGGCCTCCTGCGACATTGATTACAACTATTAAAACTGAGACCTAGTTCCTTATGGGATTTTTGTCCTATTTTCCACTGTTGCCTCCATTACTTTCCCTTTAAATCATTCCGTACACAAAGGTTCAGCAGCACAGGCTATGTATAATTTCATTTAGTTTAAACACAACACAAAACCTCAGAAACCTGTTCCAACTGTCAATTTTATTTGAAAGGTGTCTTCTATACAATTTCATATAGAGAAATAAATACGAAAGGCCTATGCAAGTACAAACAAGAGTTGCAATACTGACCTTCACTTTTCATACTCATCTTTCAATACTTTAAGGGACAAAAGTTGCATCAAATATCCTACATTTAGCAAAATAAATTTTACAAAATCTCGGATCATAACAGGTCTGTTCATGCCTACTGGAAACTTTTAAACCGAGTTTTCTTGTACATACAACCTCAACACTCAATTACATTCAGCTGCCTTTGAGAATTTCACAACACAGACCGATTTACATTTTCCTCCAGATAGATATCAAAAGCACAAGTCATATGTATGTCGCACTCCAATGTAGCAACTTGGCATTACCAGTTTTAATGATATACTGTGTGAACACAATATTTTTGAAATACTTTCTGATAAATTTAAAGGACAACCTTGCCTTCAAATAAAAGCTTTGATACTTTTTAAAACTTCAGAATGGGCATTTGCGTTGGCGCCACATGATTTTTACAAACCCTTAAAAAAATTAATTCAGCACCATATAAAAGGCTTTTATATAAAAAAAAACATTATAAAATAAGAAAGCTTTTGGGTTTTTTCAAAACATGATTTATCACTGTATGGGAAAGAGTCTACATTATTCTAATATAGGGTATCCTCCAGATGCAGCTATGTAATCGACTGATTTTTCACAGTTTAAAGAATATAAAACCAAAGCACATATTTATGTGTTTGGGGTAATGGATATTTATTTGAATATAACTGCTCTTTTAAAAAGTTGAGGGTTGTCTTCTATAAGAAAAAAAGTCAAAACCCAACACTATTGAAAGACCACATAATATACAGAAACACTCTTTTACCCTTTCTTAGGGAATTTGTCCTCATTCCAAAACAAATTAGCATCTAAGAACTCTTTAAAGAGTTGTAGATTAAACTTGCTGGCAATCAGAGGAAATATTTCAGATATTTCCTATTTGGATAATACAAGTGTAGGCTTTAGTGCAGGGAAGAAAAAAAGTAATTTACTGTAAGTGCACAAAAGCCCAACCCTACAACTTCTTCCTGTTTCTTAAATGGTTTTTACTTATGGGAAGTATATAGAACCTCCCTCTCAACCCTGATTTAATAATTTACATAAAAACTGTGTTTGAAGAATATGGAGATTTAACAGTTTACATGTATAAGATACATATACACACACACTGTTTTTCAAAAGAACCATTACTTTTTAAAGGAGTGTTGTATTATTTTTTTCTTTCCTTTATTATAAAGCTTTCCTTGTGTTACTAAATAGTACCCTAATTTCTGTTTCTTAAAGTTTAAGTGCTTCTTTCATTCATTTGAAGGAGAATTTGCACATTCAGAATCACTAAGTATACAGGACAACGCTGTAGTTCAGGGTAAATATCCATTAAGGCTCAGCTTGGAATAGCAGCCATGCTGTCGTGTTGTGATTCGCTCCACACCAGACTGGTTTCTGTAACAAACCTGCTTGGATCACTGCAGGTTTCTCTACTCATTGCTTTCTGAGCAAAGCCAGTAAAACCAAACAGTTTTCACTGCAGGTTTTACAGGCATAGCTAGAGGTACTGCAGGCCACAGAAGGTTAACTGCTACTGTCAGCAACACGTTTGTCAGCAGCATGAAAGCAATAACCTAGAGAAAGTTTTAATAAATGTTGTAGAGTTAATCTGGCCTATAAAACCTATTTGCTGTGATGATGATTAAGACAGTAAGACCCACTGCAGAGCTAGGGTCTAACATCAAGATTAAAGCAGCAACCATAGGTGATGGGAGCAAAAAAAAAAAAAAAAAGATGAGACTATAAAAAGAAAGACCTGAAGTGTCTTTTTTGCATGAACACTTTCAACATAGGAATGCATTTGTCAAAAGTTAAATCATTTGTAATGGGGTAAAATGTAAAGCTTGGGCTCCTGAGCCCAATACTGGACAAGGGAAAAAGCAAAGGAAATTGTCATATATCTTAAAATATACAGCAGTATCATTAGGACAGTATTTAAAAAACTATGATTAGAAGAATGAATAAGTTGTATTTATGACTTTAAGAATATTGTAACTAAATAGTAGCTTACTCAGAAGACCTTAGTCTTCTTTCTGTCGCGTTTGAAATCGTTCCATTAAAGCCCTACATATACTTCCTGGTATCTTCTGATGTTTTTCTATTAGGGCCTGGAGTGCTGCTTTTGTCTGTAAGGAAAGAGAAAAGGGTTGGGTCAAATTAAGTCATCTTTATATTGTTCACACACGAACACCATTTCTAGGCTCCAAAATTTGAAAGGATGAAAAAGAACTATTGCAAATACAAAACACTATTTTTTTCCATGATTAAGCCCACATGATTTGTCCATGGGATCACTACCAAGAAACAAACCAGCAAACTAGTATCTTTCATCTGTGTTAGCTGTGTTCACAAGCCCTATTAGTGATACGCAATAGTAAAATGGTGATGGAGTAAGCTAGCAGAGACCTAGATCTATAAAGCATGTCAGTACCTGTATACTGCACTGCAACTCAATCTTCTGCCTATGCACAGGTTTGCATCAGTAACACTTTGCATGCAAGAATTTTGCTTCTACTCAGGATCAGAAGCAGCCCTGGAAACACAGTTGTGTCCCACCTAAGTATGTTTGGCTTTTACAAAATAATTATCCCTGCATCCAAGTCCCCCTAAAGGAACTGGTCCAGCAAAGCATGCTTAGATCACACCTAAATAACTGCACACGACAGCATTATTCACTTGCACTCAAAAATTTAGCAAGCCCAGAAGTTAGTAACAGCCATTCTATTATATAAGTTCCCCTGCACGGGGAACACTGAAAAACAGCAATACACAAAAACTATGGTGAAAACACATAGCAACTTCCATGTTCTGTCTACAGAAGCACAGACTATTAAACTCTTAAGGCAAGAGACAGAACAGAGACCTACTGCTTTTGCAGACCATGGGTCAACAAGGGGAAGAGATATTCTTGGTACAAGCTCTCACTGTTCCTGTGAAGTAAGTGATCAATTGCTAAGTCCCGGGAGCAGGTCCCTGTCCACGTCCTAAGAGTCCTTACAGGAGAAAAGCTTCTATTAGGAAAAAATTAAGCTCACTTTTTCTTTTGTTATACATAACGGGAAAATGAATACCATGCCACAGTCTGAAACGTGAGATGAAGCACATTAAAATCACTCTAGGATTCTAGGGGATTCACGTTCCATGGGCTTTATCTAGCAGAATGCACCCTTACGGCAGAAGTGAGGGCATGTACAAATGCAAGATTCCAAAGCATGGCTGAAAGTCATTTAAACACACACAATTGCTTCTGCAAACCAACAGTGCTGAGGCTCTGTTAGACTGAACCCCCAAAAGAAGCACTCAGTTTGCCATAAACAGGGCATAAGATAATGCAGATAAACATTTCAAAATGTCATTTTGCAGTGATCTAATGAGATGATAAGCAGGTGATGACAGAAAATTGACCTTACACCTGCATTGTCAAAACAAAGATCTTTCAGATTAAGTTTTCAGAATGCTAAACAAGACCCCCTGCGAAGCTTTCAAAATGGCTGTTTTGGTGCCCTCAATCTGACTGCTTCACACATTTTATATCTGCACTGTGAAATCTATTCACGAGTTGAATGAATACTGACAAGCTTCTCTACAAACCACCTAAATCTGAAGAAGGCAAACATTCAAAGAGTTAATTTGTGGGGTGAGAAGTTGGAGGAAATAGAAATGGAAATAGACTGTACAAAGTCATGAAAGGATTCAGCTTTAGTTGTTTCATTGCATGGAATTTCAACAGTTTGTGACCACAGATTCACTGTATTTTAAAGGCTTCATTGGTAATTTTCTAAGTGATCAAGATCCAGAACACTTTCCCTGAATGAAGCCCGTGACTTTCTTTAGCAGCCCAGAGCAATCTTATCTGACTGAACTTCCTTAGGCCCTAAAGCAAGTTGTTTCTTGAAGCAAATAAAGAATACAGTATTGACTTTAAAAGGCCTAGAATACCTGCAAGGTATAGCAATACATCAGCCATTAGGAGGAATATTTTAGAGGTAAGCAAGTACAAAGTTTACCACAATTCCATCAACTTCTACAATTAGTTCCACAACAGGAATCACTATCTTGACATGAATATTCCAGTGTTTACTATTAAAACAGTAAATACTTTAAATAAATAAATAAATAAATACACACACACACATATATAATATGCAAATCTGTCTTACCTTAGCAGTCAGTTCCTCAGCAGTTATGTTTGGATCATATGGAATGGGTTCTCCAACAAATGTACGAAGCTTGACTGGAAACCCACCGTACATAGGAACTACTGGCAATCTAATACGTTCATATAGTTTCCTAAGTATTTCTAATATTAAAAAAAAAAGGTAGGGGAGGAGAGAAGAGAGAGACTGAGATTACTCCACAATGTTTTTTTTTTCCCCTCACCATGTTTTAAAACTGAAACTGGATTGTCAAGTAATCCAGCCAGTGACCCAGATTCTCAAATGTGTCATCTCAAGAGAATGTGTCATTCTACCTTTCATTTTCCAAAATTTGCATTAACACCGACATAAGACTTGCTTCCAAACTCATTTTAGAAATATCCACCCCCACCCCCCAAAGAATAGCTGCAAAGATGAAAGCAGAGAAAGGTCTGTAGCTGCTTCTGGAGTGTAAGGGAACACACACAAATAGGGGTTACCATTTTTACCATTTAGCTAATTTTACAGGTTAGCTTAAGAAACCGGTAATGGTAGAAGACTGTTCTGTTTAATCCCACTGAGGTCTAAAGGAACAGAAATAGTCTTAAATAGTCTACCTAAAAGCCAGTCATGCTGATATGCTGAATTGCGCTTTCAGACCACACACTGCTTTGCAGTGAAACAATTCACAAAGAAGAAAAGAAAACAGCAACAAAAATTTCAATCAGCTGTAAGAGGACACTTCTTCATGTCACTTCCTAAGCATCTGTCCCAAATGCAACTAGAATAAATTCCTTTCAAAATGAGTACTAATATTCTCTTCTTCAATTCTAGACAAGAAATTCCTTTAACTTAGTGTTGGCATAAAAAAAAACATCTTTAGTGACAGATGTGAATTTTTCTGTACACAACCTATAAGAACAAAGAATACTCAAATACTACTCAAGCAAGAGCAATGTGTTTGAACAGGAGCAATGAAGAAAATTAAAATCCTCTAGCACCTCTGTTGTATTACACAGGTCACAATATTTTCCTGGCTTAAACTTCCAGTTTGGGAAGATTCTCTGGAACACACTAACAATTAATTGCTATTTATTTCTGTAGCATCTGAAGAATGTGTGAATCACTGTGCACATCTACATTGGATGCCTGGGATTTCTCCATGCAATATGTAGCTTTTAATTAGAGGGGAAAAGAAATGGAATTGTTTTGTCCCGCAGTCCTTTGATGAAGATGATGATGCCATATTTTAAAGAGAACATGCTGTTCAGTGGAGGCTGTTCAGGTCCTTTCTGCTAGCAGCAAGTTGAAGAACACAAAAAAAAAAAGGCACAGGAGAAGTTAAAAAGAGTAGGTCAGCAGAGAGATGAGCAGCTAATCATCCCAGAGTGGACTCTCCAGACAAACACCCATCTGTTAATGTGCTAGAACTCCCAGAAATGATGAAAGAGCAGGCAAAAGCAAGATTTTGTGAGAAACTATAGGTTTAACACTGCACAGTATACTAACTACAGATGAAATACATTACAAACCCTTTAAAGACAGATAGGGGTCTAAGCATAGAGTATTAAGAGAATGTTTAAAGATACTGTCAACTGTAAACCCTTACTTCCTAACAGACAGCAGAAAACCTAGAGTTGGTCTAGCAGATGCTAGCTATTTGCCTTTTTCTGGTTACTTTTTCCTTTCTTCTACTTCTTTTTGAAGGCACATTATCATGTTGATAATAACTTCGGTGAGCCAATACCACATCTAATGCTGATATTAAATCTAAATAAGTCTCTGGATTCTGCTGGTGAGCAAGCCTCAAGGAACAAGGCTATGACAGATCTCAGATTTATATGGGGCTTATTTCTAGAGAGATAGACTAAACACATATTGAAAAATAAACTACAAAAAGTATATATAAAATATCTTACTTATTTTTCCTAATGTCCTAATGCCTTCTCGAACATTTTGTGTAAACACAGGAATGATGGGCTAGGAGGGAAAAAAAATATTAAGAATTCAATGAAAATAACACTATCTAAAAGACTTCTACCTCACTTAAACCCAATGTGCAAATTCATTTCAGAAGTGTTTGTCATACAAGGACATACAGAGAGCAAAACAAGGATTCATTAAGTTCTTCTGCAACCTTCTCCCATGAAGTTTCAGCAAGTCCATTTTCTTAAAGCAGTACAGGTTTTCAGAACCTGTGAAGCATTTAAGCCTCCTCTTGTCTAGAAGTATTTGCACATTTGTGAATTAAGTGGTTAAACCTCTTCCTTAATCTGTGGTTATGCTCAAAGAATTGACAGGACTGGGACCCTAAACTTGTCTGATTCAGCTCTACTGTGCTGATTGCATTGCTTCACACATGTCATATTCGGTACAGGTCCGTGAGTCACTTCTGCTGATGAATATTTGGAATGGTATTAATATTTCAAGCTTTTATTGCTGTTTTTGAACTTGCAAACAGCTGTCAAGATTTACAAGGACTGTGTGGGGAGGGAGGTTCTACTACATGAAGATTTTTAACATCATTTTACAAACAAATTATCAGAAAGAGAGCTCTAAGATTTTCACACATCCAGATTCTTTCAAACTTTTTTTTTAAAGCATGTAGATGAGTTAGTAAATTAAACTTTTCATACAGGTATTAAGTCATTTAAAAAGTTGTTTTAAAAGTTTATAAATAATCCAGTGCAACAACAGAGAATCAGTACAGTTGCCTATGCCAAATGGTAACACATTTTCTTATTCTAGAACCATCTTCCTTGGAACAGCTTGCTTTTGACACAGAAATAAGAAATTTCTGCATGTACTAAATTGGTTTATATGGCACTACCTATGGCAAGCAAACTGCTGGGAAGAGAACCTAAGGAAGCTGAAGGTCCCAGTACTGACATTCAGAAACGTTTTTCTTTCCCTGTAGAATTATATTCATGATTGAGTGCCTCCAACACTATTTATATTCTTCTGGATCTCTCAATTATTGGGCAGGAGGGTGGAATTGAAGCTGCAAGATCTTTGTGAGTGCACAAAGAAACTGAATATATGTTCAATAAAATAGATATAAGCAGTACAAGCTTAGTTAAACCCCATATATTGCCTTTTGTATTCTATTACAACGTATTAGTAAAATCTAAACTGTTGCAAGTATCCTGTTTAAACTTATCTTCCTCATGATAAAAGTGAAATATATTTAAAATTAGGTCTTAAGAGTATTGTAGTTTGGTATAAAATTCAGAGATTTAACTAGTCTCTCTTTGACAGTACCTACATATAAAACAGTGACAATTAGTTTTAAATCAAGAATATGCACACCTAAACACATATGAACACATCTTTTAAGTACAAATACAGATGAGATGACTCTGAAAGGGTTATTAAAATAGATACAATTCAAATGTATCATACACTTATGTGCCTTGCACTGTTGGTCCCATATAAATAACCACCTGTCTACAAGGACCTGGGACAATGCTTAATATTTGACAGAACTGAAAAGAAATAGTACACACCGAGAAGCAGCAGCTCTTCCTGCTGCTATATGCCCTAGACATCCCTTAGGAGCATATAAATACCAATGCAGTATGTAATGCCAGTGCTTCTAGTATGAGTACAACAGCACAGACAGGTCTGCTGAGTCACAGTGAACTTCAATGATAGGAGAAAGGAATACTTTTGTTTTCCAGTCATTCAGGTCAGAGGCTGATCCGTCACAGCCCTGACCAGGTAGGTGTAAAACAGCACAAGCTTACAAAGTAGAAACTATCCTAAATTTTATCTCTTATTCTATTAAACTCTGGATTTTCTGACCACACTATTCCCAAGTGACTTCAAAAATCTTCTATCAAAAGGGACAAAAGTCTTGAAATGTAGTTTAAAAAGCAAGTAGACTGTATTCATGACACTCAGCAATGGAACACCAAATACTTGATAATCAAAACAGCTTCCCCTGGAAGAAAGAACCAGTAAGTGAGCTTTTTTTTTTTTAATACTTTTTTTCTGCAAGTCATACTTACCACTTTTGCATCAATGGCAACCTGAGCAAAGCCCTTTCGATTACCCCAAATAATAACGTATGTTTCATCACTAAAAAGTGCTTCCCGAACTCCACCTGGAGAAATACCTAACAGACAGCCTTTCTTCAGCGTATTGACACATGCTTCTTTTGGTCCGTGCAAAATTTCAAATGCTTCAATAATTAGTTTAAAACCTGCAAAGTAAGATGATATTAATTCAGAAAACATTAATTCATACTATCATTGAGCAGAAATCCCCAAGACAGAACATAATGGCTAAAAGTTGTCTACTAGCCTAAAACCCCAAAGATATTGCTAGAAGTACTGGTGCATTAAGTTCTGCTTCTAAATTTCAGTCTAAAAAACTTGAAAGTTTATGTTTTCCATTCCAGTAAGGTCGCATGCTATCTCACAATCCACAATCAGGACAAAAATGGAAATAAAAAAAAAAAAGGCAAGCACTCTGGCATATCTCATGTATCCCTTCAGAGGAGTTAAGTCTGCTCTGGGGCACTGTCTCCTCGCCCATGCTCTACTTTTCAAATGAAGTCCAATAGGAGAAAACTCCAGCAAATTGTTGTTTTGTTAACACACAGTAGTCCATGCACAAGGAGATGAGAAACAGAACTTAGCATTCCCTGTGTTCCTGATCGCTGCAGGGACTGAATCCTCAGGTCAGTTTGAGTATCCAATGGCTTTTCATCAGAAAATAACAGCAGTTCACCACAGAAGCAATCCGGGCTCACCAGATTCATATACGCATCTTAGGTGAAGACTTTTCATTTACTAAAGTCTAAAACTGTGAAGTTACATAAACTCCTCATACCTTAAACGTGTAATGCCATACTTACTCTGTTCTTCAATGAACAGCAGAACATCAGAAATTGCTTACAATCATTAAATGGACACACACGTGCTCAATTTAGACAACTAATCTAATGTACAAGAATGTAACTAGCAGGAAGCCAGTCATGTTCACTTACATCAATAATTTTTCAATTTATGTAGCATTTGTGAGTATTACATATTGAAACAGGAGCTTCAGATCACTGACCAGCATGGGAGAGATTATTTCTCTTTCTTGAGGTTTCCCACTGAGCCAAACTTAACCTGATCAGCCACAAACAAGGGCACAGAACTGATCTAGTCAAGCCTAACCCTCAATAACAGATCACCTTTTTTTACTCTGCAAATAAAGATTTGTTAACGTGAACAGACACACAAGAGAAGGTACAGTTAAGAAGATAAATCTCTGTCCTTTTGTACACACTGCGTAAACTAAGGACTCTGGAAGGAGACCGTGAGGCAGCATATCATCAGTTTATTCTTAGCTAAACTCCAATGAATCTTTGTAGGTGACATGAGTATAATTACTCCTGATTTATACCTACACGCAGTCTGAATCTATCCATGAGCACAACACCAGAACACAAGCTCTGCTGTAGCTGTCTCACAGCTTGTTGTATCTGCTTTGTACCACATGTAACACTAGCAGGCTTCATCTAGTACCTTTTGCACAGGTGACTCCTGAATTAGTTTTCCATATTTAATTTTTCTCAGGTGTTTTGGTTCTCAAATTCTAAATAGCTTATTTTTGATTTTTACAAGGCTTTACATTCCCAAACTCATTAAAGCTCTTTGGAATGCACCTGGGGATGGGAAGCTGCTCATCTCGCAGCTCTTTTCTGTCCATGAAATCAGGAGAGATACAAAACAAGCACAGCAAAGGTAGAATCATGCACGAAGATGGACTGCAAGGAAACAGAAGGTGTGAAAACAGCTTTCCTTTCCACGGCAGACATGCAGGAGGAGTGGGGATGATAGAATAACACCGTATGAGTCTGTCCATTTCATAGATTGGAAAGAAAAAAAAAAAACAGGAACAGAATATAGGCTATATTGTCTAATAGGGAACAGTGGTGAGGTTTCAGGTCTCCACAAAGTTCCTCAGCCCTTTGGTTCCTCAGCCTTCAGTTCCTATTTTCCCCCCCTTGACTTTTATTGTAAACCTTATATTCTGAGCTGTATTTCATAGACTAGTTAGCAAATCATACTTTACTATTAATACCTCTACTCCAACAGCAGAAAGGAAGAATCTGGCAAGTCAGAGCAGCAGAAAGACAGGAATTAATCCAGTGGTCCGGATGAGACAGCCAGGGTACTCTATATCCAAGGTAAGGGTCATCATAAGAAGCACTGGGGTAGTACCTGGCTATAGCATGACAACCACCAGGAATCTACTTTTTCCCCCAGTTTAAACAATAAAAAATATCCTAAACGCAAAGCCAGAACATCAAGGTATGCTAATTTTTCCAAACACCAAGAAATCTGAAGTTGATTTTATTCAACTGTTCAACCTGGCCTTTGCCCTAGCACACTCTTTTATTCCCCACTATTCAGTAGAAGCTTTCATTTTAATTCAACCTTTGAGAAATCAACATAATCCTGGGTATTACACAGATGAGAATTTAAAGGACCAGGGAGTACCGAAATGTTCATCCCCTCCCACCTCCACCCTGTGACCAACTTCCAGTATTAAAAAAAAAAAAAAAAAAGGAAAAAAAGGTTAGCCCAAGGACTGCATTCCTTGCCTCTCTGCCCCAAAAACACAGGCAAGAGAAGCATACATAGTACTGATTTAGTATAAATTGAGGCAAGCAAATAACTTCCTTTTGCATCTACATGAAAGAGAGATGCATTAGGCAATGCTCAACAGGTATTTCCAGGTATCTCGAGGAGTTCTTCTATTAGTTTAAATTCCCTTCCACAGGTTGCCAAGCTGTATCTGTCAAGACTTAAGCAGGGAGGAGGAGCTTGTTTGACCCCTTGTAGACTCATGAATCCTTCAGGGGGCACAGCAATACTCTATAAATCCAACCCAGTTAATCACAGTTAATTCAGTACAGAAGCGCCTAGTGCAGAGGAAGCAATAAGACCGCATATTGTCAGCTGCATCCTGGCATGGGTCCAACATTCAGATTCATGGGACAAGCCATTCCTCACAGCTATTCATAATAGACTCACAAATCATAAAAACAGAAGGATCAGTAAATCGTCTGATCCAAGAGTGTCTAAAAGCCTTTCTTCCATTTCTCCTAAATTGAGTCTGGTAACTTTGGGTTAATTAAAACATCTTCTGGAAGGGCATCCAAGTTAATCTGAAGCCTTAATCGAGATCAGGCAGCCTTAGTATTAGGATGAAAGGATGGCCATCTTTCTGATTTGATTCACAAGAGAAGCTCCATCTGCCTGGGCTGCCACTCATAGATTATTCTACAGGCTTTGAGACACAATCCAGAACAACAATCTGGGCTCCTTGGACTTCTCTTCCCTGAACAGCCTTAAATCATTCACATAATCAGAGAGTTATCTAGTTTGGAAGGGCCATCTAGTCCAACCTCCCACCCAAAGTGGTCCAGCTGGGCCAGGCTACTCAGGGCCTCAGCCAGTTGAGTTTTGACAATCTCCAGGGATGGAGTTCTCCCAGAATAGCTGGGGAATCTGTTCCGGTGTGTGATCATCTTTATCATAAAACACCTTTCCTCATGTCTAACTGGAATTTTGTGTGTTGCAGCTTGTCTGTCACCTATCATCCTACTGCTGTACACCTTTGAGAAGAATCTGTCTCCAGCTCCTCTGCACCCCTCCGTTAAGTAATCAAAGACAGCAATATCTCCACCCACCTTTATCTGTTACAGACCAAATAAATCCACTTCTCTCAGCCTCTCCTCATGGTACACTCCAGCCTCCAGTCATCCACTGAATGTGGCTCTAATATGCCAATGTCTTTCTCATACTAGAGAGTCCAAACTGGACACAGTACTGCTAGATGTGCTCTCACAAGTGTCAAACCAAGCAAAATAATTTCTTCCCTCAACTACACACATGCTAAAAGGCCACCATGCACTTGATCTTCTTTCCTGTCCATGGCAGGCAGGTTGGAATGAGATGATCTTTAAGGTCCCTTCCAATCCAAACCGTTCTATGGTTCTTTGCTGCAAGGGCACACTGCTGGTTCATGTTCACCTTGTTGTCCACTAGAACACTGAAATCCTTCCTGACAAAGCCAATTTCTACTCAGGGTCTCACCTGTACTGTCACAAGGGATTATTTCATCCCAAATTCGTAACTTCACATTCACTTTTGTTGAACTTTGTGATGTTTCTGCCAGTCTTTCTGTGAAGTTACTCTGAATACCAGCTCTATCCGTTGGAGCGACAACTGCTCCTCCAGCTTGGCATTGCCAGTGATCTTCCTGAGAATAAACTACAACTAACATTTAATTAACAAGTGTGCATAATTAAGATTTGACTCCACATCATACCCAAGAAACTACAAAATAGATTGCATTAGTCAGATGTATACAAGAAGTTGGATAATTAACCCAAATCCTAGTCTACTGGCAAAAGCAGTTGTAGAGACAAAGACCTAACATTACCCACATGAAAAGGTTTTGTGTTTAGGGATTAAGGCTGAAATGATTTCATGGCAAAATTAGTTCTCTGATATGAACTGTTTTCAGTAAAAGCATTGCTGATGTTGTATATTAGTACATTACATAATACTCCTATAAATTCACAAGTCAAATTATGAGGTTTTTAGTTGAATTTGGGAAGAGAACTGGATACTAATGTATTTTGGAAATTCAACTGCCCTTTCCCACCCCTCCAGAAGAAAAAAACTAAATCCCCACATAACTAACTTGACTTATTTCAGCATGGTTTTTCCCTAGGCTGTCCAGCCAGAAGTTTGCCCTAAACATACTTTTCATTTCCTACACGTTTCACACAAACTTGGATACCTCCATGGCTTTCCTCTGGACCGGATTCTACTTAAAGTCTTCTTGGAGATACCAGTCTCTACTGCCCACCATACTCAATTGAGTGGGATACACAAAGGCATCCTCTATTCTCCCATACTAATGTCACCAATTTTAAGGGCACTATTTCTTAATCAGGTTATACACCACTCGTTCTGCCTATATTAATAAAAAGGAAACACCTCATTGAAGTATTGGACGCCAATTAATACAAAGACGAAAGTTTCTCCCATGACCTCTTCTTTTTTGTTTGTTTCTAAACACTTCGGAGTTGTGAGAGGAGTTGCCCAGCCAGGAGTACAACCCATCCCTGCACAGGCCAGTTGCATAAACTCATTCTTGAGTATGCTCTTTACAGGGAACATCTGTTCTCCAACAGACATCAACTAAATTTGTCTGAGAGTTTGTTCTGAAAGCTGTATTCTTGCACTTCAATTTTCATTATTTACATTATTAAAAAAAAGTGTCTATACTCTATAGAGTTTTCAAATTGATCCTTCATAATGAAGCATGTTACCTGGTATTCTGGAGACAAAATGATCAGCTACTACGTAGCAGAATCTCTTCTTTTCTAAAAGAAGTCTAGATATGAAATAGATAATATCAGCAGGACAAGCTCCATGATAAAACACAAAAAGTGCAGGTCCTTCTGGAATTTTTTCAACACCATGAACCTCGTAACCTGTTAGGAATCAAAGACATAATGGATGTCAAAATAAGATACAATTCTATCCCAAAGAAACTAACTTGCATCAAACTGGCAAGCTGAAACCAGTATCTATTGAGAAGTGTTAGAGCAAAGTGGCAGCTAAAATGTCAAGAGGTGACTTGCAGCATTGACTAAGTTGCTTTCACAGGAAATACATGCTTCATTTAAATCAGAAGATCTACATTTAAAGAAAGACAGAACAACACCAAAAACAACAGCTTGGATCTCTTCAACTACTGTATAATTTTACCTTTTTTTTTTTTTTTTCATTTTGCTGCCTTCAAGGCTGTAGCCTTCTTAATCAAATAATTCAAGATAAATCAAAATACAGATTGGATAGAAGTGTTGAAACACTACCATTTCAAGTTATTAGCTACCTTTCAAAGTCAAGTTCATTGCCATCAGTAACTGTTTAAGAAGATTTGACATGACAACATCCATTTATGTGGCTCTTTTTATTCCAGCATGTGAAGCTCTTTTTTGTTACTTTTCTCAGAGTTATGCTTGCTCTATTTTTTCCATCACTAAGCACCAAAAGCTGTCTGAGGCTTTATGTGCTCAATTGCAATTTACATGAATTGAAACATACAAGTACAAGTTTCTTATTGGACGTGTATTTCTCATTTAGTTAGCAGTGAGGAAAATATTGTTAGCACAAAATAACAAAATAGACCAGTTTAAAACACATTCAGTTAATACTGAGCAGTTTTGTTAGTGTTGTTTTTGTTTTCTTTTTAGAAAAGAAAACAAAAACACTTCTGAAGTTATTGGAACAATCTCCCCACGCCCCTCTTTTTTAAACTTCTGTCTGTACTTTTGGCTCTTCTTACTGTTTTACTTTCTACACCTGTGTATCTGCAACCTATAGCAAACACACCCACCTATCACCTGTGCCATCACAAGTGACCACTAACTGAGCTCCCCTGCCAGCTGTGCACAACCAGAACAATACCTGTGTCTAACATTTGCACAGGTTAGAGGTATCACACACCATTTTAGGGTTCTGTTATTTATTTTTGTTGTTGCTGTTGTTTTTTTTTTTCCCCATTGCTGTGAGATTTCAGGAGGAAAATTTCTTCCTGTGAACTACCAATTAACCAAGTAGGGAAAACAAATATCACAAAGTATTTCAGAGAATGTGGAAGCAGCTGCCAGGGCAGAAAAAAAGTCATATCAGTAGATGATGGACTGGATAAGAATATTTTCTGTGCAAATAAAAAGTTGGGCTTCTTATAAAAAAGAAAAAGTTACTACGGATGAAAAGAGCCAAGGCCTTAAAAAATCATTTTCTTATGAAAAAAGTAAATAGCTTTTCATTATGAAGTGAGCATTTTAAGCCCTTTGATTTCGCTGTTGATTTTGATCTAGTGTACTTTCACAGATTTGAAAGTTACATCTTAGTCTTACAAAGCCCATCTGATACAGCCGCTGCACCATCTGGCTATCAATGCCTTGAAAACCCTCTTCCCTTTGACTGGAGAACAAATAGAGATGATTTTCAAGAAGGATTTGTTCTTTATGTAAATTGCTCTTAAACATCTTTCTCCTTTAGCTGTATTTAGAGTGAATGGTTCTGAAAGAGGCTTATGATTTCCTTAGAAAGAAAAGCCAAATCATTTATTAAGTCTGTCTTTATAAGAGATATAATAGTAGAGGGACAAGAAACAGAGCCCTTAGTTTTGACATTCTTCTACTAGAGAAAGTAGTTGTCAAAAATACATAGAGAGAAAGAAAATATAAAAAGTGGGGTTCTAAAATCAAATTAAAGTAGCAACTAGTGAATGAACCAATGTTGAGGGTTCCTTTTAGCCACTGTTTGGCATTATGTTGGTTACTTGTAATTAAATTGCGCAAATATGTGCAGAAATATTAGCTATTAGGTTATAACTGTCATTTAGCTTCCAGTGTTCATGAATTCACTCTGAAAGAACAGAAAGAAGGTTTTTGGTTTTTTATTGCTTGCTAAAAAGTTCATAGGACATGGCAAATTAATTTGATTTTTAACATAGCTATCATTTCAGGTCCTCCTGGAATGAAGAAAATCCAGTAGTTATTAAAAAGTAAAAAAGAAAAACAATTAAACAATTTTAAAAATAGCATATATCCAGCTAGATGAAAGATCTCAAGGTAGCAGCTAAGGAATAAAAGTGCAAGACTAAAAATATTACATCCAAAAGTCTCAATTGTTTTTTCTCTCAGCTCTACAATGGTTGAAGCACAAATGGCAGTTGTTAAGCTAGGGGAAAAAAAATGGCCTGAATTTCAAATTTCATCAAACAGCAACAACAATCAGATGTACACTGATAATCCCCAAAGGTAAAGCCAGGAATAAGAGCTTCAGCACTTTCTAATAAGAAGTCAGATCTTGCTTACCATGCCATATCCTTGCGTGTCCATCCCATAAGGTAGTCAACAGTTTTCTTGCACCATCCCAAACGTTACCTGATTTTTCTCCATTTAATTTCCTTTTATGAATATAAAGAATGATAACAGCACTGTAGATAAAGACGAAGAAGAAAATTCCTGGAAATATAAAAGCTATTGCAAGTGGAAGAAGCAACCATAAAAGGTAGACTGTATAACCCAGATAATCTTCAAGATGCTCCACACCAGTCCATTCTCCCAGTAAGTGAGCCACACAGGTTAAGTAGGACAGCGATATTGGTCCTGCAGTACAGGATTCATTTCCACCTATCATCCTCTGTTTAATTAAAAAAAAAAAAGAAAATACAGATGAATAAAGCCTTAAAAAAGACAGCAATAAACCTGCGTATACTGCATAATCATACAAAATAGTGATGCATTTTATTTGTACACCATGTGCTACACAAGCCAGTAGGCCACGTTAGAAACAGAATGGTTCACACAGCAAAACCATTACTTTATTCTTTTCGGTCATTTTTGTGTAGCAGATATGCTGACAGCTCTAATTTCAGAAAGATAGAATGGTTGTTGCACCTCAAGCTATTTTCTCTCATTAAAAACTGCACATCTTATAGAGATCTAGGACACCTATTTTATTTCCAGTTCCCAGAAAGCCGCATTCATTAGTTGATTAGTATTTTTTATTATCCTACATCATATGCAGTACACTCAAAACTTTGTCCCAAGCATTTACTCCAGCAGGAAATAGTGCAATCTCAAATTCAGTGCTATAAAAACCCTACCCAACGCTTCCACTAACCATGAACATACAATGACTTGGTAAGAAGATGGCCTCAAATAAGCAAGTCTTGCTCATGTAGAGACTTTTGATTGCATCTAGAAACTTAAAGATCGTGAAATGCAAGTCCCAGAATACAACACAGAGAGGTTCCACAAAGAGAAAAAGATCACAAAGTCCTCAAAGAGCTTCAATTGCTCAGCATTTACTGTGTCTAGGCATAAGAACCTTCTTCCATGCCAGTTCCTAAGAAGTTTCAGTGTTACTTCTCTCTGGACTGATTTCATACTTTCTATTGTTCTGGAGCAACATTTTTTTCTGATATGTACAGTTTAGGGGAAAATTTGCTATTCGCTTCATCTTACAAGCCTGAGACAACCTGTATGCTGGGGTATCTTAGCTAGAGTTCTAGAACAAGATAAATACCTTGGAAAAAAAAAAAAATCCTCGTGTGGAAAAGTTTTGGTCAAGACTTGGAGTAACTGTTAATCAAGTCCAGGGAAAAAAAAACATTTTGCAGTTACAGTGCAGACTTAGAGGGAAATGGATGGATTTTAATTAAAACCAATAATTTCTGAAATAATGTGAGTTTTTTTATTATTAAAATGTGACTTACAACATATTACTGCAGAATTGCTACGCAGAGAGATATCTCTCATCACTCCTTTACTCTTGCTCTGTTTCACAAGCAACAAGAGACTGAAATTCAGAAGATAATTTTGCTAATGCTATCAGAATCCCAATGGCAGCAAATACTAAGAAGCAGATCAGTTTCACTCCCCACTTGCTATGAGACACTGAAGCATGCACCAGAACAGAACTCAGCTCACTTATTTCCCAGTCTCAATTGTTCCTCCCCCATTTCGATATAGCAAGGATGTTCCTTTCACTTCTGTTTTGAAACTGGCCTATACCCACACTGCTCCAGGTAACTCCTACTCAAGAGGAGATAGAGGATGTCCTGACAAGAGCTTTGCTCCCACGATCCATGCCTTTTCCACCAACCCAGGCTTACAAACTTCTGCTCTTCAGCATGTTCTCGAGGACAATGAGAAGAGCAGGCTGATAATCTTCATAAATGCATAAGCACATGGCATAAGTTAAAGGCACTTTGCCGATTTCGTGTGTGTGCATTTAAGGGGTGGCAGGGAGGATCAATTTGGACAAAAGGACGGGAAAGAGAGCAAGGGAAAGTTCTTTCTCATTCCAGTTGAGAGACTAACTCCAGAACCTGTGAGGCAGCAAACAGCCACAGGAAGTCCAAAGAACACAACTTCCAAGACCAAGTATGATTTAGGAGTAGGATTTAACATTATATTTACCAGATTGTCATGCCTGGATATCTCCATTGGTTCCACTTACTAAGCAGAGAACAGTACGTAGGCATGAGTTATGGCACAAGAGCTTTTTAAAACTCAGAGGTGGGTACAGAACTTCAAAGATTACTGAAAGTTATGCTTTCCCTCCTACTACATTTTTAATTGTTTACGACTTTCTCCAAACACAAAGTCCTCATCAAGTAAACTTTAAGTCCTGTCTACACATGCCAGTCTTGCAAAATGTTACTTGTCCTTCTGCATGAAATGTGATTGCATTTGAGGTATTGCATCTCACTGCAATTTTATGGGTTTGCTTATGTATCTGTGCAATAACCTGTAACATAAATAAAAATTCTTTGCTGCCAACCACAGACGTAACAGCTGAAGTACTGCCTTCCCTTAGGGACCATCAATTCTACTCTGAATAATGCTGTTTCCTACTCTTGAAGGGAATCATGGAATATTTTAGAGGGGAAAGAATCACTGGACAGCACTAATATAACCTCTTGCACAAAGCAGAGCCAAGGAGTTAGATTGGGGTGCTCAAGGCACTGTCCAGTCCCACTTGTAATATCTTCATATATGGAGATCCCACTGCTTCTTTCAGCCCCTAATCAAGTGCTGGACCACCCTCATGGTGAAAATGCTTTCCCTTGACCTAGTTAGAATTTCCCTTACTACAATTTGTTCCTGTTGCTTCCTGTCCCTTGGCTGAGAACCCTAATCCCACTTTCCCTGCAACCACTCACTAAGAAGAGCAGTGAGATCCCCATTAATCCTTCTCATCTTTAAGAAAAACACAGCTCCCTCCACCTCCCCATGTCTGCAACGTGTTCCAGTCACCTAACCGTGTTCTTGGAGTCTCCTCCAGGCTGTCTGCACCTTTCTTGTATCGTGAGGCTCGAAACACGTGGTTTCATGAGTGATGAAGAGGGAAATAAAGGGAAATACATGCTTCCCTTATCTAATGGCTATGGCCTTGCCCACGCAGCCCAGCATGCAGACAGCCATCCTGACCCATGTTCAACTTACCTCCAGCCTGTAAATTTGCTCTCCTTTTAAGAAATCCAGCACATGCCCTGATGGTCCACAGGAACACTCTGTTTCCAAGCCTAAATATGATTTATGTTACAGCTGCACCTAATGCCCTACCAAAGGTAATGGCATCAGAGATGACAGACTCTCTCCATCCTCAAAACAGCACACACATGCCCTGAATTGAATAAAGGCCCAACACAGCTCATGTGCACTACTAATAGACAGATGTTTTGGGCTGTCCCACTTTAGAGCTGTTTAACTGATGACTGCCCAGCACCCTTAAGCCTACAAAATTAAGTACCCTGCCTTCTCAAAACACCAGTGACACCACTCTGATCGGGACCTCCTTCAAGCAAAGGACAAGAAACTGTGCTGGCCTCCCTGTGAGAGGTGGGCTGACATCTATCACCACCCAAACCCGAAAACTACAGCAGGGGTGCCCTACTACCAAGCCCCAACCTCAGCCAACTTCACAGCAGAATCCCTCTGCAGTATGAACGTACCCTTAGAAGACTTATTTTAGCTGGTATCTCTAACACGTTTCCTGCCACATGCTTTTAACTTCAATACTAACTTCCTAATGGTGTGGCCGAGATAGACTTTCACTGGATGATAGCAGCACAACTTCTCATTCGGCTAACAACATTGCACGTGGACTTACACTTTTGTTTTTTTTTCCTTGATGGAGACTGGAAACAAGGCTAACACACGATTCCTTTCATTAATTTCTAGTACGTGGCCCAGACGAGTCTTTAATTAAACTACAGCCGTGCTCTTGCCACTGGGCTACCTGAGCTCATGGTGCTGCGAGAAGCAGAGCACCAGCACGCTGCAGTTTCACTGCACAGCTGAAAAGTCCAAGAGGAACCTCCACAAAGCATCCCAGTGCCCCAAAACTGGGGAATTTCTGCAAAACGACAGCCACAACACGCCCCGGCCAGCAGAAACACGCCGCCTCCTGCTGCGCCGGGCAGCCACAGGAGGCATTTAGAGCAAAATGAGCAAAGCTACCACCACAGCAAACGAGCACAAGGGGGCTTCAGAGCCCGGTAACGCCGCTAAGAGCACCCGAGGGGCAGGACCCCGCAGCTGGGAGGCTCTGGGAGGCTGCCCCGGTGCTGTGGGGCAGCGAGCAGCGCCCCGCGGAGCCCAGCCCAGCTCCCCCATTACAAACCCGCGGTGCCGAGCTCGGTGCCGGTGCCGGTGCCGGTCCCCGCTCACCTTCCCCTGGCGGCCGGGGCTCCGGCTGCAGCCCCGCGCCCCTCCCGGGTCCCGCTTTTATTCCTTCGCCCACCGCCCCCGCGGAGGCCGGGTGCCCGCGGGGCGGCGGGGCTCGGGCGGCTCCCCGCGGGGCGGGGGGGAGCGGGGGCGGCGGCGTGAGGGCAGGAGGAGGAGGAGGAGATGAAGGAGGAGGAGGAGGGGAAGGGATGGAGGGAGCCGCTCGGAACCCGGCGCCGCCGGGGCCGCGGGAGCCGCCCGGACCGCTGCCGGCCCCGCACCGCGCCGCGCCGCCCGCCGCTTCCGTGCTGGAGGCGGCCGCCAGGGGGAGCCGCCGCCATTGGTGGCGCCGCCCGCCCGGCTCCTTACATGGCCGGACCGGGGATTGTGTGTGGGAGGGATCGTGGGGAAGATCTGTTGTAGGGCCAGAGAATCGTTACGGTTGGAACAGCCCTCAAGATCACCTGGGCCAGCCACCCCCTACCACCAGTGCCACCCACAAACCATGTCCCCAAGCACCACGTCCAGCCCTTCCCTGACCACCCCCAGGGACGGTGCCACCACCTCCCTGGGCAACCCGTCCCAGTGCCTGACTGCTCTGTCTGAGGAGAAATGTCTCCTCATTGCCACCCTGAACCTCCCCCAGCACAACTTGAGGCCATGCCCTCTAGTCCTATCACTAGTTACCTGTGAGATGAGGCTGACCCCCAGCTTTCAGGTAGCTGTAGAGAGCAATGAGGTCTCCCCTGAGCCTCCTCTTCTCCAGACTAAACACCCCCAGTTCCCTCAGCTGCTCCTCATAGGACTCTCATAAGACTTGTGTTCATATTCTTCTGCAGAAGCCTTGTGTCATCGTCCTTTGCTTCATGTTAGTTGGCCTGGAACCTCTGCAGGCTGTGTGGGATGCTTGTAGTGTCCTGGATGCTTGCTGGGACCCTTCCTGACACCACGCACTCAGCAACTTCAAAAGCTCTCCATTGACCAGAATTCATGCCTCCCACCTTCCCTATTCCCCTGTTTTCCATTTAAAACCATAACATGTTTAAATTTAAAACTACAGATGCCTACACAACTGCAAATATTTGTGCTTAGACTTTTAAAAATACAGAGGTCTCTTTCCAGTGACGTTTGAAATGGTCAGGAACTTCAAACCTGGATTAGATTTGGACTGAATATGGTGATCACTGACAAATTTATTCCCCAGTTTGACAACCAGAAGTAAAAAGATTTAATTTTTATTCAGCTTGATTAGGGCAACAGGAAGGCAATATGATATGCAAATCACATTATCTAAACAATGTCTGGTATCTGTTTGTTTGGTTTTTACAGTGTTTGGTCTCTTTGACATGTTTTGCATACAACTCAAATACTTGTTCTCTAATTATTTCCATAAACCAAAACTTCTTTGTCTTAAATCGTTTTAGCCAGAGATCAGGAACATTTAGGAAATGTTGGTATTACCACAGAGTAAAGTGAAGTTGCTATATTGATGGATTTTTTAAGGATTTTACTGGGGAAAGGTTTTTTTATTTTTATTTTTATTTTTTTGTGGGGAGGGTTTTGGTATAGGAAAGGGAGAAATAGTAATACATTCCATTATAGAAACAACTCTGGAAGAACCCTATGAATATAATAGACCTCATTTCTGAAAGTTAAAAAACAAACGAACTAACAAAAAAAAAACACAGCTGGGATTCATTGGATATAACGTTAGGGTTGTGCTGATGTTATGTATTTGATAAAATTGGGGTGGGGACCTCATTCACATGCAGACTATATTCAGTGTATGTCTGCTAATATGCCTGGACATGAACAGGAGTCCAAACCACACAGTCCAGAGTAGTTTAGCCCTTCAGCATAGCTTGAGTCATGCTGCCTTAGTTCTCATACTCTCCTCCTGAAGTCCTGCGTGCTATTCTGTGCAGTATCTGACTGAAATTAGTATTCCTGAATCTTTGCAGTTTGGACACTTTTTAAGCAATGTTGATGTAGATTTGACTGTCCCGCAGCCTTGGATATGATTCCTGGATCTACCTGATATGTTATATAAATAAATGCAATAAATAAGAGGATATTGCAGTTACACCAGGCTTGGTTCCAGACATACAGGTTTATTTAGCTACTGTACCAGCTGGACTGAAATTCAATGGTTTTCAAAGCAACAGCACAGTTCTGACATCAACTTTAGGTAAGATAAATTTAGCATCAATTGGGTACAAACTCTGTGTATCTTTGTCATGCTTTTTTGACTATCTTTTACATTTATATAATCTACTGGACTTCTGAGCTGGGGTTGTTCCATTGTGCATTTTTATAATTTTATTTACATTATTTACATTATTTATAATTTATTTTTCCAAAGCTACCAGCAGAACTTTTTCCCCTAGTGCAGCATCTTAAAAAGTCATATATGTGGTTTGGGTTATGAAACAGGGAAAGGTCATCTTCATGTGCTGGGTTTACCTTTCTTTTTATATACGTAACAGAGAAGCTGGAAAATTTGCATTGTAGGGGAGTCGTCTCATAGGCAATTACAATTGTATTTTTATGAAAAGAAGCTCTACTTTCTGCTAGTTTCTGTAAGACCAGTTTCTAGTTCTAGTTGCTATATTAGAGCAGTTCTAGATTAGAATTCTGTATTAGAGAATACATGTTAGTATTCTAACATGTGGGGGGGGGTTAACTATTTTTAGTAGAAAAATCAGTCTTATTCTTCATTCAAAACCACTTGGCTCTCTAAATAATATATTTGTCCATCATCCTGAGAACCCAGTAAATACTCTAAGACAACTATGATAGAAGAAAACCAACAGAAAGTAAGTTTCACTCCATCTCACTTCAGATAAGCTGTCGATAACGTAGGGATGCAGGTGTTAAGATGAAATAGCCCAGAAAAACCTTGAGTTGTTATTAACAAACTGTTCCAAGCTGTCTGAGGTACAGGAGCTCTAGGCTCAAATCCCCACTTTGAAAGATAGCCGTTGTTCTGATTACCTATCTTCTGTCCAAGGCTAGCGCTTTATTCGAAGTTGCAGCACAGCCCCTACTATCAGGTACCAGAGTACATGGAGTTTGAAGGTTGTGTTGCTCTCAGAATACAGATGACAAGTATATTAGCTGATGATGTTAACGTGCTTGAAAAATAGAATAGGATAGAGAATGGTGCTGTCTAGTCCTTCCACATAGTTCTGTGATACAAGGAATGCTTTTAGATTCATTACTCCTAATTCCTGTTGGTTCATCATCTGTGTTTTAGTACTTGATAATCCTTTCTTTTAGTTCATTTTCTCACTTGAGTTAAGCTCCATTTTTGAATTTTAGCTTGTATTGTTGGAGTGCATTATACACGGCTTCATGGTTTGAATTCCTATTCATGTCAAGGCATACTAGTCAGCATCTTGGTTTGCTTTAGTTTATCAACTCCTATGCACGTTGCATCTCCGCTGAGAGAAAAATCTTTCTGCCTGCATACTGCAATTATAGTTAAGGGATTCAAGTAAACATTCTTATGCCCTATGACAGATCTGAGTTTTTTCAGGACAGGATTCTTGTCTTTTTGCTCTGGGGAAATAACATTCTTCAAGGGATGCTCACCTGTCCATTCTGTTCCCTTTTTCAGATATGCAAGAAATATTTAGAGAGAAGCAGCATGAGAAGAGAGGTTTATTTTAATCCAATAGATTGATTTAGTTTTCTAGTGACAACAAGCTAATATTATACATGCCACATAATTTTTTAGTATGTGCAGGGGCAAGATATTAGAAGTACAAGAGGACAGAAAATGAGGCAAGAAAATTACTTTCCTTCATGTTTGAAGTTTAGAGACTTGGTTGCTTTTAATGGCAAATTGAAAAGATTACATGAAGTTCTCCCACTCCCACTAATAACAACAACCCATAGCTTGTAAAAACACGTTCTGTTTTTTAGCAAGTTTCTGTATTCTGAAGATCGTATTAGGAAGACAACACTGCCTATATCCTCCCTTCCAAGCAGGCACTTCAGCTCAATCCATATGGGAATGGATGTGTTGCAGTACCTCATTTTTAGGCAAACCACCGGTGGTTACAAGCCTCAGGCCTGTGTTAGATAAGCTCTCCTCACCCCACTCCCTGGGAAGCCTGGGTGAGTGTAGCACATCTGTACTGCAAATAGACTGTGACGCAGTCACTCCAACTACAGGCAGCCTCATCTGCTAAATCAGTATTGCATGGTGCAATAATGCATGAATGTACCAGCACAGACTTGAAAGTACTTTCTACATGTATTTGCAAAGTGCTACAATTAACTGAAGCTTTTTTTCCACTCTCTTTGAGAGTGCTAAACTAAATTTTGCCTCAAAGTGTAGTTGGAATCTGAACCACGTATTTCTGTTACTGTATTACTTCTTCCCTAGAGTTAGCCAGATTTGTTTCATTCTCTCATAAAAGGGCAGGAGGACATAAAACGGGATGGGAGACTTTTTCTCCCCCATAAGAGGGAAGTCCTGAATGCAGAATTCTTACTTTCTAGGATAGTGAACCATTAAGCTGATATATTTGTATGAGTCTAATACCTGTTTTAATGGGATTATTTCTCTTTGCATACATTTGTAGAAAAATGATCTAAGCAACATATCATTAGCTAAAGGCATTTTCTCTTCTCACACTTGTGTGAGGTCTAGCTTGGTAGGTAACTGACAGAGTGCCTGCTAGACTGCAGTTCAGTGGGACAACACCTACTCTGAGATACTTTTCTGAGACTGGACAGTGAACAGCTCAGAAAAAAACAACAACACAGAACTAGGTAAAACTTCTCAAACTTTCAGATATATGTAAATACCTTTTTCTTAGGAACCTGTCAAATATTGGCTACGTGATTTCTTCTTGGTAAATTTAGCACTTGCATTGCTATTATACACAAGTTTTCTTGTTCAAGGGCTCACTCCTTCTGACTTCAAGAATATCCTCCAAAAGCCATTAACTGAAAGAGCTTACAGGGGGGAACCTTCAAAACGTTATTGTTTTCTTCTGTTGAATCTGTAGAAACTTGTACATTAAACCGGTTAAACACCAATTAGTCATCACTGCCACAGGACATTGTTTTTTACTATATATTGTAAAAACAATGAAATAAACATAAGCATTCTAATCACTTTTACGATGTCTATCAAATCGGTCCATTAAAGCCTTCCATATGCTGCCTGGGATCGTTTGGTGCTTCTTTATCAAAGCCTGAACTGCACTCTTTGTCTGAAAAGAGAGGAGAAAGTTGGCTTTTACATACCTACATATGCAATAAAGAACAGTACAATCACTGACTTCTTCTCACAGTTTTAAAAGGTATCCAGGCAGTTCACATACAGGTCTACTTTAAGAAAAAAAGTTGTGTATTACATTAGCTAGTTATCCTAACAATGCTCTCCTTGAAAAGGAAGGGAATAAAAACATTGAATTGCAGTTTGGATAGACTTAAATTATTGGTACTTACCAAACTTGAGATTTACTACGTCAAAGTAGCCTTTAACATATGCAGACATAAAGCTTATGCAACTTCCATCCCTGAAGGCTTTCAAGAGCACTGGCTACAACCTCACTGACCTAGTCTGATCCCATGCTGTGATCAGGAATTCGGACCTCCATATATCCTCCCCAACAACAATTCTTCTCTGAGTTTATCATATTCAGCATGCACATAAGACACATATCTAAATTCTGTTTACTTTTACTGCAATATCGCAGATTCGAATGCAAGTTTATGACAAGGGTGTATAAAATATTAGGTATTTCTGCTAGTGATAAGGAAATAGTATCTCAGTTCTTCCTGATGTATTTAAAATTGAACTAAGGGGAGCCAAGTACTAGTGATCTACTCCAGAGCAATCGGTAGAATATCACTGGGAATATAAAAACAGAGTAGCTAAACTTTTCCTGACACATTCAATTCCTCGCTCCTTTCCAAGGCAGGATCAGATGGCTGTCAGCCAGACCACTGCTCTCATCTCAAACACAATTTAAGTCTTTAACTAATAGGAGACACAGAACACCTAATGCTCTTCCTACTGAAGTAGGTGGTCAAACACCTGACCAAGTAAAGCAAATCAATTCCATGTGAACTTTAAATTTCTCTTTTGCAGGTCCACAAAATACTGTTTCCCCAAAATCCAGGAATACGAGAAAAAAGTCTTAGTAGGAATTTTGTATGCAGCCTCCTAAGCCTGCTAAGAACAAACAACAAACTCTACAGCTTGCTGGGACGGTTCTCTTGTAACCATCTGTTATAATAACCTTTAAGAAAGAACCTTACAAGAAACTTTGTCGTTCTGGTTTCACTGTTAGAAAGCCCAGAAAAATCTGCTGTGGATACTTAAATAAATAAATAAATAAATATCAAGGCGGCTTTTAGATCACTAATTTCTAACCAATGTTTTGATCTGTGTATTCCTAGACCATACGAGTTTCTTTTTAATAAATCCCTCTTTTCATCTTCTATGAAAAGTACAAGAACACACATTTTCTGAAAATTAGTATTTTGAAAAATGCCTAAATCCTGAATCTATAGAAATTTTTATGTTCCTAGGCTCCATTGATTTCACCAAGCTGTAGGTACTCAAAATATTTCTGTATTTTGGATGAAAATTTCTGTTGCTGATGTTTTTCTTTTGAAAAGAAGGCTGAAGCTGTTATTTAGACAAGTTTCTCAAGACATTTGTTCTATATGAAAATTATTTTCCTAGTTACTGAAAACTGAGCTGAAAACCTAGCTTATATCATTTCAGTTATTGAGGTTATCAACAGCATGCAAGAAACAAAGTTAGCATTCCCAGGAAGACAGAGCTCACCTGCGTTAAAGGGGTAAGGGCATCCAAATAACCTATTACTACGTCAGTACATACTGATAAGTATCCATCCATTTTGTAATTCTGAAGCTTAACTACCTATTACTTCAAGAAGCTAGTAAAAGGGTACTTGTCTTTTTTCAAGTGTACAAAAAATGGTTTCAAGTGCATATATAATAGAGCACAAGATGTGTAGTTCAATACTGCAAGTAGAGCCAACTTACCTTTTCAACTAACTCATCTGTAGTTATATTTGGATCATAAGGGATTGGTTCCCCTATATACGTGCGAAATTTAACTGGAAGTCCTCCATACGGAGGAGTAAATGGCAATCGAGTACTTTCATACAATTTTCTGAAAAATCCTGTAACAGTTGAAGGAGGAAAAAGTGAGACTATAATCATAGAAAACATAATACAAACTTGAAATCTGATGGATTTGGAAGACTCCTTAAAAATGCATGCTTTATCTGACAATCAAGATGAAATTACAGGATTTAGGTAGTTGTTCACTAAAACAAAGCTTAATATAATTAATAGATCACTAAAATAAGACTTCATTAAAGAATCAAATCACACAGCCCCAACCAGTTACACACAAGCTAGTTCAATATTTGAGACACCTCTGACCCCTAGCAGGCACGTTGGAGAAGCTAAATTACAGAGTCTGAAAAACAAAGTCTAGAAGAAAAGTGAGACAAATCTAAGAGAAGAGTGGAGGAAACATGCTAAATACTTAAATATATATTTAAAGTCCTTACTTCGTTCTTTAAACATCCTGTATCCTTCTCGTACATTTTGAGTGTACATTGGAATGATGGGCTATGGAATCATGAAAAACATAGGTAAAAATGTTATACAAAGGTTGAATTTATTTTTTAGTTTCTATTAATGCAGCTAAGAAAATGAATACAGAAGATAATCATCAGTTGGTCAGGCAGCAAACATGGAATTTTGTTACCACTGATACACTGAGAGCTGAGTAAAGCAGTGGCAGTTCCTTGTATTTGGAACTTATCTGACACTCCTGCACTGGAACTTCTGAACATTTAACATTCACATCTCAGTTTGGGACACAGATGCATGCTAAACATTTTTCTAAGAAAAGCATGGACAGTCAGACAGTGCATCACCTCCCAGTAGCCAACAGATCGCTGAATGTTTTCCACACCATAGGTGATCACAACAGAGGCTCAAACTTCTGTTCTGCCTAAAGACGACAATAAATCAACAAGCTTCTTCACACTGCCATTAAGAGCCTTTATCAGGACATTGGTTCCGAGTTTTATGTCTCTGAACCCATTGTGGAAGCCCATCCTGGCCCTCAGGAATCTTACCTGAAGGCTGTACCAATGAAACTGGTGTGTTTTCAGAAAATTCTGGTAGATGCATTTTTATTTTCCCAAATGAAATTAAAAAAGAAAAAAATATAAGAGTAAAACATACTGAATCATAACAAAGAACTATTTTTTGGCCATGATGAACATATCCTCTCTGCAATGATCAGGGAAAAAATTTTAAGTGAGCAATACAAATTTTGTGGATTTGTTGATAATCAAGTACGGCCTGAAACTGTCAGCTTCACACAGGTCACTGATAAAGAAAATCTATATAAGCCTGTAAAATGTACACAATTGATATTACTTTTAATGACAGCTCCTATTTAGGGCACAGAAATAAATATACTAATATGACATTTTCATCAGCTAGTCTGCTTTTCATTCATAGCTATGAAATATGTATTTCTTTGTTTATGTGGGAGAAGATATTGAGCAGAGCTAACCAAATTATCAAAATTATTTATTTTGCAATGTGGAAGTTACCTTTAATAAAGAGGCACATTGTTTAGTAGATATATTTATGGAGATATCCTAAGGATGTACTCATGGAAATACTGGGAAGAATTTTAGTTTTCACAGATGTTACAAATACCATCCTCCATTACACTGTTTTTAGAAAGCTAGTTTCTAGTTGAACTTAGAAGTGATCAAAATTGAACAATTAACATCCCAAGTGAAGGCATTTTTAGAGACCATCATGCTAGTCTGCACGAAAGTTTTTTTCTTCTTTTTCCCATTCGTAACTGAATGTTTAGGTAAAAAGATTAAATATTGTGCCGTAATATTCCAACAGACAGGGAAGTCCACACTCCTTTCAAGCAATTAACTAATACCTGCTCTCTTGAGATGATATTGACACAAGAACATGACTTCATACCTTTAACTCCCTCCCCACCTTATGACTGTTCAAACCTACAGCTATAAATGTCCTTGAAGCGCATCGTGCCTGCTACAGCAAAGGAAAAAAAAAAGTGAGCATACACGTGCAACATAAGATGCACTGTTCTTTTGGGACACTTAGCTGGGAGGAGCAAGTACTAGGTTTCAGTTTCTACTCTCAGAATTGCTCTTCTAGTTTTCTTCCAGAGACTTACAGTACAAGTACAGGCTACTCAGAGCACTGTACAGCTGTATCATGGAAGTGCGCATGGAGAATGGAGCACAGTAGCCCATGTAAATGAACTGCTGTTGGTGTAAGAGTTAGCTCTGGTTTCACTATACTGTGATGCAGTGCAGTACTTAGCTGTGAGCAGGCAGATGATTAAATCCTTGGGCTTGACTCAAGGATTATTCCAGCAATACAATATCAGAATCATATTTTTCATTTCTGATGTTTTAAAGGGCAACTGAATCAACCCTCTCATAGCAAAACAAAATTAGAAGAGCAACTTCAAAAATACATTTTTTTTCTGAATGTATTAGCCCTATGATTGCGCTGTTAGAAAGACACAGAGCTTCAATAGCTGTTTACAGCAAGGCATCTATCTCGGGCAGGCAGGCAGAGAATGCCTAGTGATTATTTGGTAACCTCTCAGCTTCTGGTTCTTTTTTCTCAGTTATTTTTAGTCCATCTTATTGGCTTTTCTGGATGCAGACTTACATCCTGATTAAGTCTGGCTTTTCTGCCTGTGCTTTAGAAGCGCATACCTTGAGTAATCTGTGTTAACTGATATTACAGTAAAAGCTTAAAAGTGAACTACCTTAACATCCTGCTGAAAGGCAGCAAGTTGGTGTATCAAATAAACTCCATAATAGAAACCAATTTACGTTTCTCAGCTCCCACAAACATTGCTGTTTTTAAGTTGCCATTTGTGAGGAAAGTGATACTGTATTAAAAGGTTTATATCTTTCCCTTTGGATGTACATATAAAATGTAAGTGGGAGTCTAAAAAAATAACACGTTATGCATTTATTGCAGTGTCACTGACTGAAACAAAAAGTTTTGCCATTTCTCTGCCTAAAGTTAAAATCACGCGTTATGAATAAGACAGTGGTCAGCTCAAGAAGCATTGCAGAATGCAAGTAGATGCTCACATTCAACCCACCTCATCAGTTTCTCAAAGTAAGGTCTGGTATAATAATAAAAATAAATAAGCAAGAAAAAAACCTAAGTAAATCCAAATAAAGAACTCAAAGCAATGGAGACCACTTAATGAGAAAAAAAATACATATCAAAAATATCAGAGGTATGTAAAGCTGTGGTAAAAAATCCTTCAGAATAAGGAGTTATGGGAAAATATCATAAATTAACTCTTAAAAATAACCAGTAATATCTTCTGAAGTCATACAACTACTGGACACTTTAAAAATAGCACATTAAGTTTCTGCTATGTCATTTAAAATGGTGGAAAGCCATCAAGACAGAACACTTAAATATTAGGAACAATGCAAGAAAACATTTTTTTTGCTTTAAGGAATCTGGCAAGCAACTAAAAATGTTTTTGCATACAATGATCAGCTGATGAACAACAGAGGAACTTGCAGCATTCAGTTCTTAGGCTGATAAAAAGTGGTACACACTATATATGAGTTTGTGCCTGTAACAGAGGCACAAGCCAATCCACAGGGTGGATTAGCTGAGAAGCAATAATCTACAGGTTTAATTTGCAATGCTGGAACTGAGCTGGATCACACCCAGCCAACTCAAAAATCACAGAATAGTTGAGGTTGGAAGTGTGTCTGAAAGGGGTTTCCAGTATTAGTGGCTCCATCGTTTTCCCTAGGAACTGAGGTAACACTGGCTTGCCTGTAGTTCCCTACACTCTTCTTCTCGCCCATCCTGAAGACAGGTTTGATATTTACTTTTTTCCAGTCAACAGGAACCTTTCCTGAATAACACCAGCCAGCTCCCTCGGCACTCATGGGTTCATCCCACAGACCAGACTTGTAATTAATTCCTTCTTTTTCTTTCTTCATCCTGTGTGCATCAGCATACAAGTACTTCAGAGAAGCATCCAAAGCACATCAATTTCCCAGAAGCAGTGTGAGAGCTTTCCCCCAACACTGTCCTACAGGTACTTCCTTATTTGCCTGCTTATGCTCAGGATGAGCTCACTTCAGCAGTTTTGTTGATTACCACGTCCCTACTGTTTACATCACCCTCGACCCTTTGCTAAATGAGCCTGTCCACGACTTCCTCGCCTGATTGAGGAATACTCCCTCCCTTCCCCTTAATCCCTAGGGATTAATCCCTAGTTTACCATCACCAGTTACAGAAAAGCAGGGCCTAGTTATATCGTGACAGCCTCCAACTAAAGGGGCTACCTCCATAATTCCAGCACTCTTTTAACTTCCATGTGTGTATATTAAATTATAGAAAAGAAAGAAAACAAAAGTGTTTGAAGCACTATTTTGTAGGAAATTTACAAACAGTAGTTCCTGCTTATCTTTTACCTAACTAGATTCAAACTGGTTTTTGGCATAGATAAAATGCAGGGATGAAGGCTCCTCCCCATTAGCCCACCAAAACTGAGGCACAGACAGAGGGTATTACTGAAGATCGGGTCACTGACATACTTAACTTCAATTGATACAAATATATGTCCAGGAAGATCATGGATTTACATTAAATAGTAGTATTTTCCTTCTCTGTCCTTGTATAAGCAGGGTAGTTACACAAGATGAAGAGGAAACTGAATGGGGAAATCTGCAGGCAAGAATTAAGGCTGAAACTACATTCCTGGCTTGCTTTTCATCAACTTTTCCAGAGGAAGAACTGTTAAACTTCCATAACATTAAATAAAGAATAGGAATGTGTATTCAGATATGTAAAGTTATTTCTGTCTTGAAACCCTCCTGTTCAAGTAACCTATGGCAGGTTTGGAACTTCCATGTAGTTATTATGAGGATTGTAAAGCATGTTTGGTTCTTCAGTTGATGGCTACACCATATGTTTAATAAACTCAAAACAAGGTGATGCTTGTCTTCTTCTGCCTTCAGCCATGATCCAAGTATTAGGAAAGCACATGGATTGCTACATTACAGAGCAAGTTCTGTTAGTTTAGACGAGTCCATCCCCAGTCTTGAGTCAACCTATGAGACTGATTTGACCAGTAATGGAAAGGATGCAGCAAGGGTAAGCAGGAGCAATCAAACTCCAACTTTGTCAAAAGATGGACTCCAGTTAATACTGTAGCATAACCTTATGTAAGAAATTGTACATATGGTTAATGTTGCCCAGGCTAATGTTAAATGCACAGCACCTTTTTTTTTTTTTTTGGTAAGTGTTCTGTTATCTAAGGTATTTCTGGTCAAAGATTTCCAGAGGAATATCAAAGATGCCCAAGATTCAGTGGAGTCTGCAAGTTACTTACAGGGATGCTCACCATACTGAAATCCCAGTGGCACTCTATTAAGGTCACTCAATTGTTTAACTCAATTTGTATCAAAAAAAAAAAGACATTTCATTTAAGAGTTACATTATAAGGTCGCAAGTGAAGTGAAAACATCTGGCAAAATATTATTCAAATGTCTGAGGTAGCTTGAAAGACATATGAAAATAAAATGAAGCAAAATCACTTGTTGAATTGACATTGCTTTCAGACTTCTCAAGTATATTATTAATACAAAAGAGGAAAGACTATAAGGGAATTCAAAATGCACATATGAATTTGATTGGGTTTATCCTATTCAGACCGGTATTTTCTAGTAGTGGTAGCGTATAATATAAATGTTAGTCAAAATACTTCATATAAGTCCATGCTTTTTGAGAGAAGGGTAGAGAGGGGGAACAAATGCACAGAAATTGGGGACTGTTAGCGTTAGGTCAGAGGTTGGACTCGATGATCTTGAGGTCTCTTCCAACCTAGAAATTCTGTGATTCTGTGAAATGTGACGCTCTTAAAAGGCCACACAGCAAAGAGGTAGAAATGGAACTCCAGGTCTACAAGTACTTTACCCATTGGATAATCCAATTCCTCTAATTTTTTTTTCTAGAGTTTTGTAACCTCCCATAAGATTTCAAAGACAGATATAGTTATGAAGAAATATTAAATTGAAGCGTGCATTTTGCAACCCTAGGTTCTTTTTAGTAGGAGTTTTGGCACAAATAACCTAAAGTTTGAGAATCAACATCTTGAATGGGGGACAGAAATAGATACGGATAGACACAAAAAAGTAAAAAGAATGGCAAGGAATTCAAGTGTTATGGGAAGAACTCCACTTCCTGTAAAAATTCCCTGTAAAATTCTCTTATATAGATGAAAAAGGATTACATTTATTTGGAAGGCCAAAGAAAAGCACAGGAGAAGATGGGGCATTCATAAGAATGTACAGAAGATACAGAAGAAACTTAGGATTTTGCAATTCCATGAGAAAGCTCATGGCAGAATAGATGAAGCCTGGATGTATACTAGTACTGTCACAAACACCCACAGTGCAAGGTATGCTAAGTCTAAATTAAGAAAGAAAACTGGTCTCTACTTTTGATGATAGGAAGTGGCAGTTAGGAAAGAGACCGTGTTGCTGCTCTTCAAGCTCTATGCCATCCCAAATAAAGTTGTCTCCTAGAGTCTGTATCAGAGAAAGCGTTGCACTTGTGGGAGTCTCACAGATGGGAAAACTCAGAGCCAGTGGTGGAAGCTTGTATTTGTAGATCATCACCCATATGGAAAATCTAAATGAAACTGTGTCCATGTGTACATGTATATTTTCACAGTGCGAATCAACAGACACTCCTCTAGAGGAAAAGAGATGATGCCGAGGATCAGACACCACCAAATACATTTCAGTGCTCCGCATCTACTTAGAACTAATTCTTGTCTTGTACCATTGACTGAACACACATTTGCAGCTGGAGCGTATTAGGTTCCACTTCTGGTCTAGTATCAGACAAAATGCATGCAGCTCTGGTACTCAAACACTATTCCATGATGCAAATGAAAGCATGGTAAGTGAGGGAGATAGAAAAACTGTTTCAGAAGTGCACATATGATTCAAACGCAAATGCTAACGTAGAAACGCCCTGTGTTAAGCTGATGCAATCTTTCACAAACATTAAGAAAAGTAATGGCAAGAACAAATCCTGGAGCCTTTCAGAATATAAGAAAAGAAAGGAATGTAACGATATGATGTTAACAAACCACATGAGAATGACTGGGTACGTAGAAGTAAAAGAAAGATAAAGTCAGAAAATAAATATAATAGGATGGAAAAAAACCATAGCATTGTGAATGACCACAGTGTAGATTCCTGAAATACAGTCAAGACATGTTAGATGCCCACAAGACGGAACTGTAGAAACAGAACTGTGTGTCCTGGTTTCAGTTAGCACAGAATTAATTTTCTTCCTAGTAGCTGGTGGAATGCTGTGTTTTGGCTTAGGATGAGAAGAGTGCTGATAACACCCCGATGCTTTAATTGTTGCAGAGCAGTGCTTATACTAAGCCAAGGACATCTCAGCCTTTTGCTCTGTCCTGCCAACGGGCAGGCTGGGGGTGCAGTAAGAGCTGGGAGGGGACAGACCCAGGACAGGTGACCCAAACTAGCCAAAGGGGTATTCCATACCATCTGACGTCATGCTAAACAATATATAGGGGTGGCTAGCCGGGGGGAGGGGGCCGGACTCGGGGTTAGGCTGGGCATCGGTCAGCGAGTGGTGAGCAATTGCATTGTGCATCACTTGTTTGTACATACTATTACTTTCGTATTATCACCATTGTATCATTATTATTATTATTGTTATTATTATTTTTGTTGTTATTATTTTCCTGTCTTATTAAACTGTCTTTATCTCAACTCACGGGCTTCACTTTCCATTTCTCTCCCCCGTCCCAGAGAGGGAGGGGGGAGGGTGAGCGAACGGCTGCGTGGTGTTTAGCTGCCGGCCGGGTTAAACCACGACACTGTGGAAATGAAGCTGTTGCAAGGCATCCAGGAAAAAAGGCTATACAGTTCCATGAAACTCATGCTCCCTATGGTTACTGCATTTGAAGAATGTAGTGGGCAAAGGAAAAGAAATCTCTACTCCCAAGTCTCTTCTTCTGTATGGAATATACTCCAATGCTTCTGAACTACATTTTATAATGAAACTTGCATGCAATAAGCATAAACTGGGATTGGTAACATAATACTCACCACTTTTGCATCTAGAGCAACCTGAGCAAAGCCTTTTCGATTTCCCCACATGAGCTGATAACTTTCATCGCTGAATAGTGCTTCTCTAACTCCACCTGGTGATATAGACACCAGGTGACCATTCTTCAGTGCACTGAGACACTCCTCCCTCGTACCTGGCATAACACCAGTCACTTCTAACAGTAACTTGAGTCCTGTAATAAATAAGCAGCATGTAAGAACAAGTTTACAGCTAAACAAAAAAAAAAAATCTAATAGCTGTGTTTAGACTAAGGCAAATTTGTACTAAGTAAATACAACACGTACAGAGTAAATATTGGCTAAGTGACAGTGTTTTTGCCCAAATGTTATAAAGATAAAACAGTTTATCAAGAGCACCACCATAAGCCAATGCCTACATATGCTCCTTTCCATAATTATCAAGCCAGCAGCTATGCAACTGAGACTTGTGCCTCATAGCTAGATATCTGAAAACAAACATCTAATTCTTCCTCCTGCTTTTTAAATAGGTTTTAATGTAGAAGAATTATCTTTTTCAGTACAATACAGGTTATTGCAAAAATAAACACCTAACAAACACATAATTTAAGTGTTCTTTTAAAATGTAATTTTTAAACTGTAAAATTGAGTGTTCTGTGGTTAAATTGCAAACTACTTGGGTTAAATTGGGCTGCCGTATGACTCTTTAGATGCATGAATGGTCCAAGTTAAGAGGACAGTTTCAGCATTGCACAGACCAGTGAACGGTTCACACAGTTTATGACACCAAGTTGGCTGGAACTGTTGATCTGCTCGATAGCAGGAAGGCTCTACAGCAGGATCTGGATAGGCTGGATCAATGGGCCAGGGCCAACCGCATGAGGTTCAACAAGGTTAAGTGTCAGGTCCTGCACTTGGGGCGCAACAACCCCATGCAATGCTACAGGATGGGGGAAGAGTGGCTGGAAAGCTGCCTGGGAGAAAGGGACCTGGGGGTATTGGCCAATAGCCGGCTGAATATGAGCCAGCAGGGTACCCAGGTAGCCAAGGCCAACAGCATCCTGGCTTGTATCAGAAACAGTGTGGCCAGCAGGACCAGGGTAAAGATCATCCCTCTTTACTCAGCTCTAGTGAGGCTGCACTTCGAATACCGTGTTCGGTTTTGGACCTTTCACTACAGGAAGGACATCGAGGTGCTGGAGCATGTCCAAAGAAGGGAAACAAAGCTGGTGAGGGGCCTGGAGTACAGGTCTTATGAGGAACTGTTGAGGGAACTGGGGTTATTTAGCCTAGAGAAAAGGAGGCTAGGGAAAACCTTAGCACTCTCTACAACTACCTCAAAGGAGGTTGTAGCAGGGTGGGCTCTTCTCCCAAGCAATAGTGTCTTCTCCCAAGCAAGAGGAGAAGTAGTAGTCAGTATTAGAGCCACTCTTTCACGGTAAATTTTTCAAACAAGTTGTGTGCCCTACTCCAGGCCTTGTTCAAAAGTATAGTTTTAACATCATACCCCACTGCAATGTCTACCCCACACAGAGGGTAGGTAATTAATACCCTACCATTCACCAGACTCTTCTGCACTCATAGCCCATTGCTGATGAAGCAGCATTAGATTAATAACATAGTCCTAACCTACACTTTCTTACACTCTCCCCCCAATATTTCAGTTTAAAAGCTGCCTTCAAAGCGTAATAAATATTAATTCCACAAAAACTAGCAACAGTTTGATTGAATTCATGATGCCTACATACAAAAGAATGTGTTCTTACCCGGTAAACGAAAGACAAAATGATCGGCTACTGACAGACAAAGTCTTTTCTTCCAGAGAAACAGCCTAGATAAAAAGTAAAGGTAGTCTATGGGAATAGCTCCGTGGTAGTAAACAAGAATGCCTGGTCCTTCTGGTAGGTTTTCCACACCATGAAGTTCATAACCTGTTTGGGATGTAAAGCAACACACCAACAGTGATAGCTGTAAATTATATGGCAATTCAAAACAGTTTTTTTACTGTCCTTTATTAAAGGACTTCTGTAGAGTAGTAAAAGCCTCTGCAGTAGCTTTAAAAGAATTATGTTCTGGATGGAATGTTCAATTAACAGCAAAGAGAAAGCCCCTCCACCACAGATTATCCTACTCAATGGACTAACGTGTTGATCAATTTAATCATCAGATCAGACTCTAACCTGACATTGAACCAGAACTGTTGCCTGTTAGGAACTTTTTCTACCTCTAAGTGCAATAAAAAACAAACAAGAAAACATTATTATACTGCTGTGACTCTCATTCTCCTGATGAAACTGCTTCAGACAGACAAGGATTTCAAAGTTTGGGAATGGATGACCTTTTAGGTAAACATTCAAGTTATGAAGAGTTGGGCTGGGGACCCTTTCATTCTGATTTGACGTAGTAAAAAGTTGACCTGGTTTGCAGGCTCAAGTCCAAGACAGAATCCACAAGAATCCCAAACAGAAATTCTCTGCACAAGACTTAAATGCATTCACTTAACAAGGTAAGGGAAATTCCTCACGGGCATGGACTTCTATAAATACTTCTCCTGGCTCTTCCTACATTTGATGTATGTTTCAGGTGGAACGAGAGTAGGAAGCTAATGCATACAAAGGCTTGAGAAAGCCACAGCTTCCACTAACTAAAAAAAAAAAAAAAAAAAATCTATTCCACCCGGTCTGCCTTTATCTCTATCCCTGCTACAGCTCCTTTCAAAAGCCATTTGAAGAGGACAGGGATGGTACAGGCAGGGTCCTAGCAAGAGGTGGAGAAAGTTTTAGACTGCAGTATACTTCACAATTACACAAAAAAGTTGTGAGGAAGGGTAGCAACATAGAGAGCCTGTTGTTCTTTATCCTTAGGGCAGCAAATTAAGTCCTGCTAATAGTCTTAAACTACACCTGTGGTAAGAACAGGTGCCTAGCTTGTGGCTGAGAATTTTCCTAGGGATTAGGGTGTGGTGAAAGCGTCTAAAGGTTAAATATAACATAACTGAAAAATCAGAGTACTTGTAAATTCTGCTACAGTACAAACAGAAATAATTCAATACCACATTTATTTTTCCATACGGCTCTTGGAATTATTTAAAATTTTCATAACAGAATAGTTTTCTCCAACTAAAAAGACAGTAACTACAGTTCCAAATAGTTGTTTTGTTTTGATCATATAAGCAGGTTACAAAAAGCTACTAAATTAAAACAAACAAACAAACAAAAAACAACAACAAAAACCACATTGACTTACAGAGAAGTTAGCAGAACTAACATTTACACCATACCTCACTCAGAATTTTAATTCAAAGCTTCAGGCAAGTCATGTCACACTTACCATGCCATATTCTTGCATATATATCCCAAAAGCTTGCCACAGTTTTCCTTGCACTATCCCAAACTTCACTCAAGGGATCTTTTGTGGCTTTTACCTCATCACTCCTCTGATATATTAAAAGCAAAACATTAGTAAGGTAAATGAAACAGAGGATTGTTAAAGGAACAATAAAAAAAATTAACATTGCACTAATTGTCACCGAGATGATGACCACGTGGAAAAAATATTTCTTCAGGTACTCCACAGCAGTCCATTCTTCCAGTATGTAAGCAAGGCAGCTTAGGTAGGTCATAGGTAGCTGTCCTGAGGCACAGGATTCTTTTCTACCTACCATTTCCTGCATGAGAGAAGGGAAAAAGTTTAATTTCTCTGATTATGCAAGCTTCTCATTTAGAAAAATGATTTACTGTGGAGGTAATTGATGCCTATTTTGCTATAGCACAGAGTTACACGTTTTTTCTCTCCCTGTCATGTTATGATAGCTGCTTTACACTATTGCCTGTAAAGAGTGATGAGATTATCATATATACTTATGGATCTTTCAATACTGCTAGACAACAGGGACTCATGGTACAATGGTTGGAGCCTGGAGTGCAGCCAGGGGATCAGAAAAGCAAGCTACACACCTTGGGAACACCTTTATTCCCAGCAGACCTTCAAGACAATTGGATGCTCGAACTATCAACCTCTGGAAAGTTACCAGCTACAAGAGAAAGGCATTTTTATATTAAGCTCTTGGAGGATCCTGAAGGAAGCGTGAGGACCCATGGAACACATCCATTGTCAAAACCATTTATCTGTGTAAGATTTCTGTGGTTAAGTGACTTAATTTTTAGAAACTCAAAACGTTAGTAAGTGCTTTCAGCAGTTGGTCAAGAAGACTGCCACCAGACGTCTGGGCTCTTTCGATCCTCCTCAGAAGCCAGCCTTTGATTCTGGTTGTTCTCAATTCGGTAGCTAGGTGAGGGAAACCAACAGAAGAGCGAGTTACTGAGCTAGAGGAAGAGCCAGCAGGAAAAACCTGGACAACTGTGGCTCCTTCTGGAGGGCAAGAGGTGACTGGGACAGCATTTGCTACTGCTAGCAGCACTGTAAAAAGCAGCTCTTCCCTGCTGTTCCCCATCCATACAACCACACCAACACACCCTTCTTTCAGATTTTCCATGGATCTAGTGGTATTTTTGCCCCAAATGCAGCTATTTCCTTAGTCTATTCCTGCACCTGGCTACCTGTCTTACAGCAGGTAACGGTCTCCCTAGAGTGCAACCGCATGACAGCATCCCTTGCTTGCTTTAAGTCTTAGAATTAGCCAGATATTACGATCATATTCAGCGATTCATAACTGAACGCAGCTTTTATTTACCCTAATCAGGTTACTGCTTGTTGAACAAGCAACTTTCCGGTCCAACACCGGAACAAGTACAAACAAGAAACAAATCACAGCTGCCACAGTCAGTGCCAAGACCATAAAGCACAGCAAGCCCAGACTCTTCTGACTTCAGCTGACTACTTACAGGAGCAAACCTGTTCTACAGCACGGACTCCAACCCCTCATCTTTTTATTTCTCTAAAGCACTGGATAAAATACTTTGGTGAAGTGGTGTAAAACAGCTCCGGTACCACAGAGCTCAGCTCCCCAGGACACGGGATGGCTTCCAAGCCAAAGAAAACAAACAGTAACAGTAAGAAGAGCAAACTAGGAGCACGAAGGAAGAAAGCGCTGCTTTAAATCATGCTCAGCATGTCAAAAACAAATGAAACCTACATGATAAATAACATCACTAAATTAGCAGAGTTGTTTACATACTGATGACAAATACCTGGCTAAGATGTACCAAGATCCAGAAGTTCTCACTGAAGTAGATTTTATAGGTAACATGAAAGACATAAAAGCAGTAGTCCACATGATTTAGATATTAAAATCTCTACTCTGAAGGTGTTTAGGAAGGTTAAGGCTGATGGTGTGGTGCTACCCTACAGAAAGGATGTAACTGCTTGTTTGAAGTTGGTGATAAGAATAAGGACTACAAATCCTCAGTGCTTGTGAAGTGTGCTCTGCTGAAAGGGCCTAGGAGAAGGCAGTGTTAAGAGCTTGCCCCAGGCTACCGAATCAGAAGTATTAAACGCTGCTGGGAATAACTCATTCAACCTGTAGCATGGGCTGAAGGAAGGGATTTGGTGTTGTTAGGGAGGCTTCAGACTGGGAACAGAGACTACAACAGCCAGCAGCATAACTTAGATCTCCTTGAATTCGGAGATAAAGCTTCCATAAAGATAGTAAATACGCTGATAATAAAGTAAACATTTCTCACCATTGTATGATCTGAAGATTAACTTGAATATATTGAACATGTCAATTGCCAAGTTCCAGTCTAAGATTAATATGCCCAGGTATCTTCTAGTACATAACATTCTTTGCAAAAAAAAAAAAAAAAAAAATCCCTCTGACCTCATTTTTGGTAATTCTTGAAACACTAGGGGAAACCCAGAGGAATGGAAGAGATTTAATATCACTCCAAAGTCCCCCAAGAAAAGTAACTACAGTCTCAGCAGCCAAAGAAATCACCAGCAAGATTACTGAAAAGCTGGTACGGGACAAATGTAACTGATGCCACTCATGATAATTTGGTGGGAAATGACTTTGCAAACAAACGCACCTCAGTTCTTTGAGGGGGTGAGAGGTTTATATCTTGTGTAGGCTTTACGTGAGCAGCTGCTCAGAGGCAGCACCCACCTTTCCACCACCACTCTCCGCATCTGGCCCTGTCTGCAGCAGTACCAGCTGGCTCCCTGCTAATAAATAAATGCTGGCACAAAGCAAAGCCACTACTGGGAGCAGCCCAAACTTAACCTGGCCTACAGTGATTATGAAAGTACATTACTAATGCCAGTTGGCATTTTGTTTAAGAAAATAAAGCTCATTTTGACATCATCATTCGTTTCATATGTTAAGTGACATGAGAAGAAAGTTCCCATCAGTGCATCAGCAGAATGCCCACCAAATGAGAACTGATTCTGTATCCCGTGTTATTTAGGATTTTCAGAATTTTCTTGTAATATTTATGGGATGTTACACTGATCAATGCAAACCATGTAACATCCCACTGATTCCTTCTCCATCTCAATTTTAATGTAACAGAAAATGATTTCCTGGATGGAAGACTACTATATTTAATCTTGTTTGCTCTCAGACTAAAGTACAAATGAACATTGATTATTTATTCATTTCTGATTTAAAGTTTAATACATGCACTGAAAAAGGCTGCAGAAAAAAAAAAAAAAGAAATTTAAAGACTTAAGTGTTCAAAAGTAATTTTAAAAACCTACAAAGCAGGTAGCAGCAGCACAGATTTGACTAAGGACACGTGAAAGTATTTGGCACACGTGGTGTGAGTTAACTTTACACCTGGGTGAGAGGGTGGCTGGGATACAAGCAAGTTCTACATCATTCCAGTTGAATCCAAGCCAGAGTGGAAAAAGTGACTGAAAAATTGACTAAGTGAGGAAACAAGAAGGAGCACGGCTTTTTCTGGTAGTTAGGATGCTCAACCAGATTTCAGTTCCAGCTCCCATACTTCAGCTGTACACTTCCTCCAACATTTTATAATGAAAGAACAAACCGTCAGCGGGGTTTCAATCAGATGAAGTGAGTTTGAGTCCACCATGCCAAACACATCTCTCCATCCTACCTGTATAACAAAGGCCTACAACAGGACAGGACTTGGATTGTTGCCATGTCCTACTGGCTAGCTCTCACCAGTCCCTCACTGAGACCACAAACACAATTTTGCAGCATCCTTTCTGTCCAACACTACACAGAGAACTTATTACATACCTGTTGGAGTGCATGGTACAAAGCTTTTACTAAAGACCTGCTTGGTTATGCACTGCAGGACAATACAAGAGTTAACAGCACATTTACACATAACTGCTGTTTTGCCCCCAAGCCTCAGAGTTTTAGGGAAAGTTTCTCTTCTACTTTTTATCAAATCTGAGCCAGGAGTAGCTCCCATGTTCTTTACAACTGAACAACCTGTAAAAAGCTAGCAAATGGGCACAGCGTTTTGTGGAAAACATTTTTCTGTTGAATTGATATTTCCTTATCTCATCTGGCAAGGGAGATGAAGCGCTACTGCTGTGAGTGATCTCGTTGTTCTGTTAGAGAACAACATCTATGTTGACATGCAAGATGTTTGTTTTGGCTCCACCTATAAAGCATATCAAATTCCAGAGTAATAGCCATATCGACAATGTAGAATTACAGGTGATGTCACACGGAGACAGGACTAATGTCTCCCTACTTAAAGGGGAGCTCCCCTTCCAGCAGAAGACTCCTGTAGTGCATACACATCATTCAGATCCCCAGCCCTCGCTGAAGTAGCATTGGACGATAAGGATAATTTTACCAGCTAACATGATAATTCCAGGGAACAGAAAAGCAACAACAAAACCGTCACAAGAGACATGTGGCAGAAAAAAACAAAACCTTGCAGTTGCCTTTCAACCGCAACTAAAGATCTGATGATCTTGGTCTCAGTGCTCAGCAGTGTGTTCCTGGCAGTAAGCTCAGCAGATCCTAGTGGGATGAGCAGTGCTAAGTAGCTGGAGACTCTTCTGCATTGAATTTTTTTAAACCTGCTCTTCTGTGGCAGGCTCTTACTCTCTGCTCTGCCAAACTCAACCGCTCCGTTCACAAGGGAAGCAACAGATCAGTTACAGCTCTACATCTTGCCTTTCAATGCAAATAAAATTCAAGTTCTGTGTTTTCCAGAGTTTTTATAGCAGTTCCACAGAAAATAACTCTTCTGTTGTTCTCACACAGACATCACCTACTTTTCTTGCCACATAAACCCACGTACCTCATGTGTTGCTATGTTTCTACAGCTTTCCCCTAACTTAATGGATTATCAGCACATCCACCCCAAAACTGAAGGCACCATCCCTCCAAAGTAGGAAACCACCACCCTGTAAGCAATTACAGAGCCCAGCCCTTCTACTTTTGGTGGATATTCGACCTATTGAAGACACCAAGGGTACCTAACCCAGCAGATTCCGCAGATTGCTTCCCATCTACTCTCTTAGCACCCAAACACACAGAGCCAGGGAATCATTAGGATTGGAAAAGACCTCCAAGACCACCTGGTCCAACCACCCCCCTACCACCAATGCCACCCACAAACCATGTCCCCAAGCACCACGTCCACCCTTTCCTTGAACACCCCCAGGGACGATGACACCACCACCTCCCAGGGCAACCCGTCCCAGTGCCTGACTGCTCCTTCTGAGCAGAAATGTCTCCTAATTTCCCCCTCCGGCCCCAGCCGAGAAGCTCCCCCCGCCGCCCCTCTCACCTGCCCGCGGCAGCAGCAGGCACCCCGCCGCGCCGCCCCTGGCCCGGCATAAGAGGCACGGCCACCCCCGCGCTGGGGAGAGGCGGGGCTGGGGCTGGGGCTGGGCCTGCCAGCCCCGGCGGGCTCCGTGCCCAAACCTCCATCTTTAAACCGTCCGGGGTACGGAGCCTGATGCCGGTGCTATGGGGGAGCCGCTGCCCCCATAGGAAGGAAATGGTGGCGGGGGGGCACGTAGGACCTTCGCCCGCCCGCCCTCAGGGTGCCCTGAACACCTCCAGGGATAGGGCATCCAAAGCCTCTCTGGGCAAAGAAAAGGGTCTTTTAAGGGCTTAGAACAGGATGCCAGACAGGCAACTAAATAAAAGGCACCGAAACCTTGCAGTCATGGCTAAATTAAGCAGAATACCTTTATGTTTCACTACTACTCATTGTGTGGCTGTTATGACAGAGGTCATATTTAGGCAGATAAGATCAATAGATACCAATTTTTTGGTTCGGGAAAGGATTAGCGTGACCTCTTTAGGACACGTCCATCAATTTCAGTTGAAACTGGGCAAGAAATTGAGTGATAACAATGACTTGTAAATGAAGATGAGAGAGACCTACAATCTAGTTTCCTTAGTCAACACCAGTAACACATACACACACACACACACACATATATATACACATATATATATATGATTAGAGTAAACTTCTCAAGATTGAAGAGGCTTCTAAGGGAGATTTCAGAGTTTCCCAGGGTAAAGCATACTGATTCAAAACTGGCATGGGTCTTGAAGGCAGGCAAAATTGTCTGTCAACTGCCCTTCACAGTGTGACACTGCCGTCACCCTTTCAGAAAGATCCACACAGACTTGAAAATGTTCAGGGAACTAAGTAGGCATATTCAGTAGCACCATGACAAGGATTTTGAATGCTTGTCCAGCAGGATTTATTCCCAAGGAGGATTCTTCAACAGAGACTCCCTCCCTCCAAACTTTTGAAGAGTTTGGATTCAGCTGACGTGAGCAGATCGGCTTGCCACCTGCACTTCAGAAGATGCAGAGGACAGCAAGCAGTGCTCCCACCTGAGCATCTCCTCACACACCCACATTCATCACAGCGCCGAGACAGAAACTGCTGTCATTGCACGAGTCCCATGAGATAAAAAATTATGGCTGCAGTACATTCCTTCCTGCCCATATGTTAGGCTATAGCTTCGGTTCAAGGAAGGTAGTCACAAACTTGGTGAATGCAGAAATGCATTCACCGGTGATGCTTTTCTGCTGGCTTCTGGCTTTTATGGGTCAAGACAGGTTAACAAAATGCAGAAATAAAGTGTTAAAAATTATAAAAGTATATTTACGTGGTCAGTGCAGATAGAAAAAGGGTTGTATGTAATGTTTACCAACCAATGCAAAATCTTAGCTGAAATGAAGCAATTTGTTCTGTTTACATGTGATTTGTTTTCCTATATTTGCATGACTGTACTGTCCTGCAAAGAATCTGCATAGAAATGGAGGAACTAAAACTACTATTGAAAAACAGAAGTATAATGAAATAACAACCATGATAACATGGATATTGAAAGGTGCATTGGAATAAAGAGTATTGAATAGCACTGGAACAGGCTGCTCAGAAAAGCTGTAGATACCCCATCCCTGGAGGTAATCAAGGCCATGTTGGATGGGGCTTTGAGCAACCTGGTCTGGTGGGAGGTGTCCCTGCCCATGGCAGGGGGGTTGGAATTAGGGGATCTTTAAGGTTCCTTCCAACCCAAGACATTCTATAATTTTATGATTCTATAAAAAATAATTTCATTGCTGTCTTTGCTATCCCTCTCTCTCTCTGTCTTTCAGAATAATCTTGAAGAATGGTTGGAAGTTTTTTCAGTTTTAGGGATCGAGGCCTGCAGCAGCATATTTAGGTACGAAGGGAGATTTCTGATGGCAGATAAACCACTCTTGTTATAACATGAAAATAAAATTTAAGAATTCAAATCTCATGGAATGAGAGAAGGTGTTAAAGAGATGCAAAATTTCAATTCTGAAAGTTTAGATGAAATGATGGCCAAAAATTTTAGAAAGACATTTTCAAAATAATTGAACAAATAGCTAGTGTACAATGCATATTATCATGAATACGGAGATTCTATGAGAAATGAGAAAAAGGATATTACCAGTATAAGAAGCTGTTTCTTGTGAATCAGGAGCATATGTTAAATAAGGAAAAAACTATCTGCGATTTTGTACCTTCAAAAGAAAAGTAGCAACCAATGAAAAAGAGAGAAATTAAAAGTTAATAGAGCTGAAAAAGTACTTTACTCTAATTTTGAACAAGGGCAATAAGATGGAGCATAGGCAGATTGATAGTAAAGATGAAAGACTGGAGAGTACAAAGGTGGAAGGAAAAAGTAATGTTCAGCAACTGTAAGGATGAGTTAGTTTTCTTCATCTATACCAGAAAAAAACATCTAGCAGATACAATTGCAGGCCAAGTAATAGAGATTTTTCAGCAGTTTCGTGAAATTAAGAATACCAGATAACTGAAGAATAGCAAAGTTAGCACCAATATTTGAGAAAGTAAGAAGAGAACAATTAGGATTTACCTGTATTATACATTTTAAGAAAACAGTAATTCTGGATGTGGAGAGATGTTAAATTCATGTCTAGTTTTCTAATTATAAATCCTAACAAGCTAACCCAATCTGTCTTTGCCAAAGAAACTAGGCTAAAAATAAAAATGAAAAATGAAAAATGAAAAGAAAGAAAAAAAAAAAGAAAAAAAGAAACGTGGTTTCATCTATCTGAGCTTCATGAAAGTTTTTGTTATGTTATCTTATAGAAAACTGAATGTTTTTGATGTTCATCGAACCTGGCCAAAAGGGTGACAACACACTGTATTGAAAGAGGATGCCTCATGGTCTGCCTCATGAATAAATCATAAATGAAATGATTAAGCCATTTCAGCAGCATAAAGAGAATGGACTAATGAAATTTACTTGTGAGCAGTTTTGTAAACATCAGTACAAAGAACTGTAATATTCTATGGGAAGATGAACAATCTTGATCATGAAACAATGGGGAAAAAGTTATTTCAGGAATAACTGCTAAAACACCATGGTTTAGGATGCAATGGTGTATGTGTATACCATTGGTAGGAAGCATATCAGTGGAAGCCGATGAAGAGAAGACTGGACTATACAAACCAAATCACATCAGTGGCAGAGCTGCCAACTTGTTGAAACAATGGAAGGGATTTTATTAATAACCTTAGAGTTTATCTGACAAGAATTTCCTGTAAGATTAGTGAAGAGTTGCATCCAGTGTAGAGGCTGTAACCATGGAAGGCAGTACTGAAATATTCTTTAAAATACTGTATTTAAATGCATTTCCTTCCTGTTTGTAAAGATTAACTTAGATTGAAACAAATACATTAAAAAGTCCAAAAGATGACAAGGATGCAAAAGCTTGTCTTAGGAATGAGACAGAAACTTGTTTTATCTGCACCTAACAAAATGAAATTTCAAACAGGGCATCACTGTTGCCTTTATATAATTTGGGGGTTAAATTGGGAGAAAAGTAACTGAGTTAAAGGTCAGTTGAAGCGCAGAATAAGTGAATTTTAATGGTCAGTCTGTAAGTTCAGCAAGTTTTATATTCAGGTAAGATTTCTAGCAAGAAGAAGAAAAAGAGGTTCTGCAGCTGTTTTCAGAAGTAAGAGTTTCTATTGCTAATTGTAAGTCGAATCTAATAAATAGGTTATGGAAAGCTGGAGGTCCTGGTCTCGTGTTACTTACGGGACACTGCAGGTGAGTTGCTCTCTGAGCTGGCTTGCTTTGCTGAGTGCCAGCTCTCTTACCTATACAAGACCATGAGAGCCAGGGTGCTTTGCTATTCAGTTTCTGCATTTATTTTTCACATCCTCAACCTCATTATTGTTCTTTTTCAAAGCTGTTAATCTAGGCCAACTGTTTCCAGATTCAGTGCGAGCAGATACAGTTGTCCTCAGCTAAGGCTAGAAACATTTTAAACAGTGCAGCTGGAGTTTGGCACTGTAAGGAAGTGTAACCCATCACTATATAATAGGTTTTCATCCTGCCTTGTCATGCATACTTTGTTAAAGGTTTTCAGCAAATCATTTTCTGATAGCAGAGATGAGACAAGTGACAAGGAATTTTTGAGTCTCTTCCAATTTCTAAAGAAACATTGTTCCTTGGCAGGTATGTCCTATTTTTTTTTTCTTCATACATTAATATTTTGCAAATCTCCTCTGTGTTCTTTTCCAATGTATCTCTTATCTACTAATGCTCAGATCAGTTTCCTTCCCTCCCTGTCCTTTATATCTAATCTCTGTCTGCATTATTCTCAGTCGCTGTTTCCCAGTGCTAGTTCTTACACTGAGATTCTGTCTCTCCTTTCCACATTTCTGACATGTTCTCAACATTAACCCATCTCAGCTGAACAACCCCTGCCTTGTCACCATCACCTAGGTCCCTGGTTTCTTTGCTGTTTATCACAATGTCACCAATGAGAGCTTCCCTCTCCGATTTAGTGCATCCTTCCCAGGACCCCTTCATGAACCCCCAAAGCTGTTGGCTCTCCCCACCTTTATTACCTGGAAATTCCACTGTCCATTCCTAGCTCTTTTATTCACTTTTTTTTTTTTTAATTAAAAAAAAAAAGACTGCTTTTTTTAATTAAAAAAAAAAAAAGACTGCTCTCCATCCTCCTCATCCATCTTCATATCTTCTAAGCCCCACTGATGTTTCCCAATCCCCCAACATTCCTTCCCACAACCTCCCCTAGTTCCTTGTACTCCTCCTTACCTCCAGTCTCCTGGAATTCAGTTGCTCCCATAAAATTTAGTTGCCTACACTGATAGTCTTGAGCTACTCTTGTGCCTAGAGGCAGCAGAACTAGGATAAGTTGTTCTGTTTAGATGTAGTCTGATCAGTGCTATATATTGTGACAAATTACAGTATATAGAGAGGACAGCATCTTTGTAAGTATTTAGATATTAAAAACTGACCTTCTTTTTAACATAAGTACATCAATTTAAGTTTCAGAGTAGGTCAGCCTAGACACAGGACAGAAATGTATCTGGTAATTTCCATGCATTCACTCCAGCTTCACAATGGAAC